GATTTTACATCAGTTAGGAGAGACACGCTGATAGTGTGTAGCGGTTATTTTTTTATTGGGAAGAGAATTTTGTTGTTTTGAAGAGAATTTTGTTGTTTTGAAGTCAGTTTTGTTGGTTTGTTGAAGTGGTTGAATATAATTGTGGTGATCTTAATTGATCAGGGTTTATTGGTTGTAATTAGTTGTTTTGGTTGTTGAGTTATATCTATTTGTGAAGATATAATTGGTTTATATTGGTTGAATGTTTAGTATTGTCAAGATTATATTAGTTGCTGCTTTGTTTTGAGGATATATGTAAATATTGGGTGCTTTAGTTTGCTTTTCTGATGCTGATTAGATTTTGTGAAGTTAATATTGTTGGATGAATGTTTGTGGTTTATACGGTATCTTAGAGTTGTAAAAATAGTCATTTCGGTGTTCTTCATTTTGTGGTGATTTTATTGTTTTGTTTGATCATAAGTTGTTTAGAGCTTGGGCTCGCCAGGTGTCTAGTATTGTTTCGTATAAAAGACGTATACGTGAAAAGATATTTCGTATAAGTGGCTGATAAATGATGTGTGTTTGTTTTGGGTGTAAATAATGATCAGAGTTCTTTGTTTTGGGTGTAAATAATAGTCTGAGTTTGTCGTTTAAATGTATATATTGATTTGAGATAGAAAAAGATAAAAATACCTAAAAAAAAATAGTGTTAACTAAACAATTACATGCTAGTTTTCCAACTGAGAATATTTCAATTTATGTCAGGCGGTGCTGCCCAGCCCCCAAATCTCGGAAATTGGTTCTAGTATTTATTGCTAAATCTTTCCTAAGATTAAATAACATCAAGGCAGACATTTCTCCTGACAAGTCCAATATATAAAACATTACAGGCTTGTTATAGTTTATGTCGGTCAAGCCTGTTGCTTTGCACAGAAGCAAAAATATCTCAAAGCGACCTCATATTTATAGGACTATGGATGGACAAGCTATGGATCAAGCAAATAACAATCTTTTATTTAGTATAATTAATTTAAATTTAAAAAGAAACTGTTGATCCCAAAGAGCAATATAACTGACAGCTAAAAAAAGAAAAGTCCAAGAATAATAAACATGCTAGGATTGTGAGACTGAAAATGTATTCTAGTCATGGTTAAAATGTAATAAATAGTGAAAAAAGATGATAAGAGATAAAATAGTTTTTAAAAACACTGGGAGTAAGACTAGTACTGCAAACCCACCACTGCCTGTTTGAACTGACTCAAGTTGGGCAGGGTGGCAATGTTACAAGGGAGTTTATTCCATACAGTACATGTAGTATAATGCTATGAGGGAAGAAACAGTACTTAGGGTAGTCGGAGGATACCTGTATTTGGCATAGGGATAAGGGGTGCATATGTCTGATTATTCTATGTGTGGCTTGAACATATGTTGGGAGATTAATTGCAACTAGGTTATGATATATCTTGTAAAACATTATCAGTTTACAGTCCAATCTGCAATGTTCAAGGGATCGCCAGCCCAGTTCTTCCTGCATGGCTGTGACACTACAGAGAGGGGAGCAATCCCTTTTAACCCATCTTATTGCAAGTCTCTAGATCATCTCATCTTTGTCAATATTGGTTTTAGTGTACGGAGACCAAATAGTTGAAGCATATTCAACCTGTGGCCGGACCAGGGACTTGTATGCTAGTTCTTTCACTTTCTCATTTTCAGTAATAACATTCCTTTTAATAAAGCCAGGGGATCTGTTTACATTGGAAGTTATTCAAGAAATACGTGTCAGCAGACAGATCTAGTCTGAGATATTTAGCATTTGAATATGCTTCAACTATTTGGTCTACTTACAATTACACCAGTAGTGTATCTAAAATAAGTGAACTTAATTGGCAAACCCTAGAACAGAGGCGCAACATAAGCTCTGTTACCCTTCTCTACAAAATCCAACCCGATCTTGTGAGGGTCGACCATCACCATCCAGGGCTTTTTTTCCTTCTATAACAGGGGCCGATATAAGGCCCCTTCACAGTTCAAAATTGCACTTTTTTTTTCACAAAGTGGCGGAAAAAAATTCACAATTTCAAAAGAAATTTCACAAAATATTGGGACTTTGTCTTTGAAATACTGCGAATTCACTTATATTCGTGGGCATGAAAGTTCGTGGTTTTATCAAAACGGGCATTTTCGTGGGTTCTTAAATTCGTGGATTTTCGTTTTCATGTTAAAAAAAATTCAGTAACCTAATGCAAAGTAATCTTAATCGCCGAACATTTTTACTTACAACATGTATCACACAGCGGTTGTCAATAAATTTAATTCTTGCCTCTGGGCATAACTCTAATACAGCACAGTTACTGCCGATAATTGACTGCAATTAACACATTTATGTGACATGATATGCACCTCCATTGGACACACTGCCCCTGTAATTCGCCGATGTAAACATCGCATAATATATACGACACCTGCACGTTTTAACCAGCGAGTTTAAAAGTTTACACTTTACATATTTGACAGTAACTACATGCAACGTCACAGCGACTGTGTAAATTTACATGCATATAAATTATTCTCGGTAAGTAACACGAGTATATGTGGATCTTGTAAAAGTCGGTGGCGTCTTTGATGTTTACGGAATAGCATTCGCACAAATACTGATTAAAATTCATATAAACTGGAGCATTTAAAAACAACAAAAGAAAGTACAATAAATCTGTTTTAGCGATCGTATTTTTTATAGTTTTGTGTACTTACGACATTAATATCAAAGACTTTTTTTTTAAATTAATAAGAGCAAACTGACAATTTTTATTAGCGCTAATTATTGCACTGCCTGGGTTCCCATATTTACTCGATTATGTCAAGTATTCTTGTTAACACAATCAAGTCCTAGTAGACTACAACGATCAAGTATGTATATATGCGACATTTGTGACAGTAAATTGAGAACATATAATCGAGTTTTCTTTCAAGTTTCTTAAATATTGCAAACGGATTTAATATGTCACTAACCTGGTTATCTGTCTGTACTTACATCCATTTCACGAAATATCGGCCGGAAAAGAGCCGACTCATGTTTGTAATATATAGAACAGAGATAGGGTAAGAAGTATTTGTTGGGATAAAAGTTCGTCGGATCTTAAATTCGTGGATTGACCTACCCACGAAAACCACGAAAATTCGTGCCCCACGAATAATAATGATTTTACAGTACATTGTTTACCCTCCAGTTAATTATGTGATTTACGCCAATTTCAAGAACACAGAAATATTTTTATCAATTTAAATGGTTTAAGCACATGTTAAGCGGGTTAAAGTACCGACTTGAAGATATTTTCCGGTTTCATAATGTCGCTAAATGCCAAATAATATGTTGTTTTTTTTCACAATTTTATGACAAATCACGCTTTTTTCACAAAATGAACAGGTCCAGGCCCCTTCACAATTTTGACAAAAAATGCCCTGCCATCTGATACCCACTAGAAACCTGAACTTCCTAATACCATATTCAAGGACACAATACCACTCCTCTTCATTTTTCCCCAGAAGTATTTGGAATGGCCTACCTGTGTCCTTACAAGCTAGGGGTGTAACAATACAGCCAAAACCGTATTGCAATATATTGCCATTTTGCTGAAGTGTATTGCAATATATTGCAATACGTATTGTCGTGTATATGTTTTGATGTAAAAATGGAGTAACATTTATATATTATCATTATATGTATATATTTTTAGTAGAAACTTAATAAAAATGTAACTAAAGGAAAAAATAGAAAGTAGTGTCACACAATTTGATAAACAAAACTAGTCGCGTGTGACCTTTCACATCTGGGCCGCTTATGTAAATTATGCGGCCGCTTATTGACTTTTAAGTGTACTAGTTGTCGGATACTTTTATCTTACGTTGGCGGCAACAAAATTTGCCAAATAAAGATTTTATGTGAAATTTGTACAAAATTAGAGGGCAATTAATTGAAAATGATGATTTTTATAAAATACCGGTTTTCCAAAAATCATACCGCGGTTCGAAATTAATTTTTTCATATTGCAATATATCGGTATACCGGTAAACCGTTACACCCTTATTACAAGCTAGTCCCAGTATAGACATTTTACTGGGCAGCTGCATTCTTTTTACCAGGCAGTTCTATGCTCTTGTTTGTTTCTTTTATCTCAGTCTTGTACAGACTCAATCAAACCGAGTCTGCAATTCTCTTGTAATTTTGTTGTGATTAATGCTTCCGAGGGATCACTTTGTTTCCAGATTTTTATACTTCACAACAGCAGGTGTCAAGTGCTGTGTGGCAGCTGTAAAAAGTTGCCCCGTACTTTACTTCAGTGTTGTTATATTTTTCTGGTCCTTCAGGATCATTGATGCCAGCTCTATTAAGTGTTGGGAATTGAGTACCGCTCAAGCCGGTGCTAGGGGGCATGAGGGATGTTGCACCTATTCATTATCCCTCATGTACAGACTCAATCAAACCGAGTCTGCAATTCTCTTGTAATTTTGTTGTGATTAATGCTCGGAGGGATCACTTTGTTTCCAGATTTTGTAGTTCTTTTGCTTTGACCTCATGTCTATAATTTTGCACTTAACATATTTGTTTTTAACAGCTATTTCCAGACAACGCGCCTGCTTAGTGTAATCGATTACGCTTTGGAAGCAGTATAATGTAGATATAGATGAGACCGACTCTAGGACTTGGCCATGGAGCATATATTTGTGTTTAATTATGGTTTTGCTTTTGGTGATATGGATGACTTGGCATTTTGAAGGGTTAAACTCCATGTCCCACTGCTTCTCCTACAGAACCATATTGTCTAGATCATGTTGGAGAGTTGGGGGGGGGGGGGGGTCTGGGGAGGAATTGATCTTGATTGATGGTTAGGTATATACAACAGTGTCGTCTGCAAATAATCTGACTTGGGGACAGAAGATGGTAGCTTCAACAGTTCAAAACATTGAACTATTTAGTAAGTACCGCGACAATCGATGCAAACAGAATAACTATGAAAAAATACCATAAATGTGGGTCTTACTATCTGATCAATAAATTTATATGCTTGTTTTCCTCGTTTCCTCTCCACCGTAGTTCGCGGGAAATTTAAACGGTGTCAATGTAAAAAACGGTGTACCACATGTTTTTCACCAGTTTAAAAAGTCCTATTACATAAACTGAATTTCATACACGTTTTTATTGTCAAAATGGCAAGCAAAGGCAGGGTTGTCATTTGCATGTTGCGCAACGATCTACGTTATCATGACAATGAGGTTAGTTTCATAGTATAAATGCGATTGTAATTTTATTATATAAATAAGTAGTGCGCAGGCACTAGACAGAATCAATAACTGAACTGTACATCAGTATAATTATCATAAGAATATATAGGTAAACTGATTGTGTCTAGTGCCTGTGAATAATTGTATGAATTGTCTCAGTTTCCCAAGCTTTCCAAGACTGTAACACATTTTATATAACCAAAAGCCCTGGCACACAATTCAATTTGTTGGACTAAGATAAAGTATGCATATGTATGTATGTTTTCTGTGCTTAATTATGAATGTTCATCTGCCCGTTAAGTAGCTAAAGATACATCAGCGAACATGTTTTATAGTAGCACAACGTCAAAATAAAAGTGACATATAAAGTTATGGAAGCCAAAACTATCCGTTAAGGTACTACATGTAAATGTTACAGTTTTCTTTTGCTGTCAAATACTGATGTCCCATATACATGTATATACTCCTGATTTACACACACTATTCCAGAATTTAACCATTTTATATCCATTTATGAGGGAGGCATAATGATATGTAGATTTCTAATAATAGAAAACTAGGCAGAAAGAGGAAAACAGGTAAAAAGCACAGACGCTTGGGGGTCAGATCCTGCCCCCCAACATGATACGCCCCTGTAAACACTCTACCAAAACTATTTTAATATTTAAACACGAATGGGACATCTATAACAACGATAAAAATGGTTTTCAAACAATTTTTACATATATGAAAAAATACCGTATACCATCAAGTCTCAATAAAGTACTGTCGTCTGTGGTAAAAAGCAATCCAAAAGTGAAGGAGTGAAATGGTGCAGCCTCTGTGCATTTGGGTTGTTTTCTTCACACTTACTGACAAGAATTTTTTGCCTTCATAAGGTTTAGACTGTCAGGGACAATTAAGCCTTAAGGTTAACTACTAGTGGTAGACCAATTTTAATAGTACACACAGTTACATGGTGGCCTGCCAGTTCCTTACAAGTTCAGGACAAAGTAAAGGTAGGGGGCTGGGATATAAAGCCCTTGGAATCTCCACAATTTTCATAGCAGATGACACAGTCATATCAGTGCAAAATATCTTTATAGTAGAACTGTTTTGGGGTAGGAAGAATGGCAACAGTAAATAACCTATGAGTCAGGGAATGGGGGAGTGAAATTAACAACAGTGGACAGAGTTGAGATTGCTTGTATCACTTGAATTCTGCCCATAATGTAACCATCTTTTTATGCCCCCCCCCCCCCCCCCCCCCGTCGCCCCTTTGAAGGAGAGGGGTATATTGTTTCGCTAATGTCGGTTGGTTTGTCTTTCTGTCTCTTGGTTGGTCTGTCAGTCAGTAGACCACATGATTATCTTGAAAACTTTTTATCGTAAAGTCTTCATACTTCACATAGTGATTGGTCATTGGTCATAATAGTAGATGACACCTATTGATTTTGGGGTTACTTGGTCAAAGGTCAAGGTCACAGGGGCATAATATTGTAAGAATGGTTTCTGCTGATTATCTTGAAAATTATTTATCACAAAGTCTTCATATTTCACATACTCATTGATCATACTTAGTAGATGACCCCTATTGATTTTGTGGTCACAAGGTTAAAGGTCAAGATCACAGGGGCCTTAAATGTCAGAATTGTTTTAAGGTATTATCTTGAAAAGTTTTAACTATTCATAAAAAAGTTTTCATATTTCAAATATTGATTAGTCATATTTAGTAGATGACCCCTATTAATTTTGGGGTCACTAGGTCAAAGGTCAAGGTCACAGGGGCCTTAAATGTCATAATGGTTTCCACTGTTTATCTTGAAAGCTATTTATCACAAAGTCTGCATATTTCACACACTGATAGGTCATAATCAGTAGATGACTCCTATCGATTTTGGATCACTAGGTCAAAGGTCAAGGTCACAGGTGGCTAGAATGTTAGAATGGTTTCCGTTTATCTTGAAAACTATTTATCACAGAGTCTTCATATTTCAAATATTGATTAGTCATATGTTGTAGATGACCCCTATTGATTTTGGGGTCACTAGGTTGAAAGGTCAAGTTCACAGGGGCCTTCGATGTCAGAATGGTTTCTGTTGATTATCTTGAAAGCTATCTATCACAAAGTTTTCATATTTCACATACTGATTGGTCATAACCAGTAGATGACCCCTATTGATTTTGATGTCACTGGATCAAAGGTCATGTCACCAGTGCCTTGAATGTTAGAATGGTTTTCGCTCATTATCTTGAAAGCTATTTATCAAAAAGTCTTCATATTTCAAATATTGATTGATTTTGGGGTCAACGGTCAAAGTCACAGGGTCCTTAAGGTTTACGCTCATTATCTCGGAAACTATTCATAACAAAGTCTTCATATTTCACATATTGAATGATTGGTCATATGTAGTAAATGACCCCTATTTATTTTGGGGTTACTAGTTCAAAGTTTAAGGTCACAGATGCCTAAAATGTCAGAATGGTTTCTGCTGATTACCTTAAAAGCTATTTATCACAAAGTCTTTATATTTTACATACTGATTGGTTTTATGAAGTAGATGACCCCTATTGATTTTGGGGTGACAAGGTCAAGATCACAGACGCCTTAAAAGTTGGTATGGTTTCCGCTCATTACCTTGAAAGCTTTTTATCACAAAGTCTTCATTTTTCACAAAATGCTTGGTCATATGTAGTAGATGACCCCTATTGATTTTGAGGTAACTAGGTCAAAGGTCAAAGTCACAGGTGCCTTAAAGTCAGAATTGTTTCCACTCTTTACCTTGAAAACTTTTTATCACAAAGTCTTCATATTTCACATATTGATTAGTCACTAGGTCAAAGGTCAAGGTCTTTATACGTCACATCTTGATTGGTTTCCACTCTTTACCTTAAAAACTTTTTACCACAAAGTCTTTATATTTCACGTATTGATTAGTCACTAGGTCAAAGGTCAAGGTCTTTATACATCACATATTGATTGGTTATAACTAGTATGTCATTATTTTTCTTACCGTATTTCCATAACTGAACACTTCCATGTACCCATTTTTTGGCAAGTTTCTATAACAAAATTACCAACAGTATGAGTCAAGGGCTAGAAAGGGGGGCATATGTGTCGCTTGACATTCCTTGTTTTTATTTTATTTTTATTTATTTATTTTTTTATACATTTTCAGTGTGATTGATTAGTGCTTTGTTTTAAGGAATCCTATTCAAAATAGGGTTTGAGTAATTTATGGTTGTTATAGACTAAATGGACTGATATTTGATCTTCATTATAAATATTTATGTGTTAGTCTAAGACTGCTAATTTCCGTGAAAATTCCAAATTTTGGTTTGCTGAAAATAATGATGATAATAATAAGTAGCTGTAATTTTGTAGAGGAAACAATCAATATTTTATTTCAGGCCCAACAATGACCATTTTAACAGGATTGTTCTTAAAAAAGTTTAAAAGTAAGAATTTTGTTGATTACAAGTAAGAATTCCATCATGTAACATGACTAATTGTTGATTTCAGTTAGGAGGGCATACATATTTTCTTGAAAACGCTGTGTGTAAAGTTTGAATTTATTTCATCCATTGGTAAATGAGATATAGCCTGATAGTTTGTGCAGTCAAAACTTTATTCTAAAGTGTTATCATATGGCAAGAAGAATAACATTACTTATTCTCCAGATAGTTCAGTTAAAATGTTAACTAAACTTCCGTCTTTTAGAAATGCAAGGAAAACAAAACAAGCAATGTTGCATCATCTACACATTGTCTGATCATGTTAAATAAGTAAAGGATTTGTTCATTTTCTTTTAGAATGCTTAGGCATTTAATTTCCTGCTTAGTTATGATCCAATTTTGTGTTAAATATAGGATGTTTAAACTTACAGTTTGTTGTAAAGTGAATATAACTGTGTATTTCCAGGTACTTGCTTGGGCCAATAAGAATGGAAATTGTTTACTGCCAGTTTATTGTTTTGATCCCCGTCATTATAGTGGAACTTACAAATTTGGATTTCCTAAGACAGGTGCTCATCGTTTGAAATTTCTCTTAGAGAGTGTTAAAGATCTTCGAAGCACATTAAAGTCACATGGCAGGTAGGAAAAAGTCAGTTTGTATTTTATTTCAATGATAATGTGGATGTAGACAATACATCCTATGCCATTTGACCACTTCTACTGATTCATGTGATTTATGTTCAGGATTCAGCAGTAACTTGCTTATATAAATACCAGGTCTATACTGGTACATAATCTAGAAACACTCCTTAAACCGTATCATGCTAAATTTTTGAAGTGGATATGTCCATCTTTCAATTTTGACAAAATCATTCATCTGTTGCAGGGCTGGCAAAATCTGATTATGACTTATTTGTCTGTTGTTTTTTTTTTAATTAAAGCAATTTTTTACTTGTCTGTATAATATTTATGTAGTAAATTCATGAAGGTTTCCACGTGTCGGTACAGGCTGTAACTACAACCTGGGCAATATGAACAATTGATTTTGCCACCCGTGTTGTAGGAAATCAGTACTGACATAATGACTAATGTTCGTATGATATTTATGTAGTAAATATCTGCACTGGTTGCATGGGTAGGCACTAAATGAAACCAACATTATGGAAACTAAGAACTTGTACATCTGTTATCTAGTATGCAATATTTTTGCTTTATTACCTTATAATGCTGAATAATCATTCTTTATTTATTCATAAGATGTATATATGCCATTCAAAATAAATTTGTATTACTAAAGTTGAGGCATGTTCTGGTATAACTGTTGTTTTTGTTGTTGCAAATAATAAACAAAGGTATTATGCTACCTTGTATAAATAAAAACAAAGCAATTCATGTATAATTAGTTTATTTGACTATAATACATGTAGATTCATTTATAAAGACTTAGTCTTTTCAATGTATGATTCATATAAAAAGAGAAATAAATAAATATAAAATGGTAGAAAAATAGATAAAAAAAGATGTACATATCTACAGTTCAGTGATAATGGCACAAAGGTTAACTTGAGATTAATATTAACAACAATACAGATTGTTAAAACAAATTACCATATTTTTCTTATTGTAGCATGTTACTTTTTCTGTAGATTTCAGGTGAGAAAATAAATATAAGAAAGTTATCATTTTAAAAATAGTTAAGATGTTTACTTATACAATGTTATCTTCATTACAAAATTAATGTATATGTTAAGTTGAAACAGGTGTTATCCTGGTATGTATATTAATTGAAGATCTAAAGGTAAACTATACTACTTACTATATAGAAGTGGTCATAGTATTGACAAAGTTAAAATAGCAACTGTTGTATTATGTATAGTTCTATAACTTTAACAGTTGTATCAGATTTGATGCGCCATTAAAGACTACTACCTTCATGCACAATAGAACTTTACATGTATTTATTGAGGTAGTGTACATTTATAATAACAAAATGTTATCAAGGACTTGAAAAGATTTTACTCTCTTTGGTTTCACTATCATGACTATGTCACAAGATGAATTTTATCAACCACATGAATAAAATTCTAAACTACAAGTAAAGATTTTGTTCTAAATGACTTCTCCATCATCTTCCCATTTTTCATTGGCATTATGATCAATTTTCACCCCATCCCAGTGTATACCATCATCCCTCTGGCGAAATATTAATGTCATTGGAAATAAAAAATTTAATACCCAAAAGTCTCCAAATACTGATTTTAAGTTGCGGTTGATGGAATTCATGTTTTTTATTGGCACTTTCTTTGCTACTTCAAATAATGTCTTTCCATTTGCACTAATTGTCATCTGAGATGTGAAGTAAACAAAACCGATTACTCCAAAAAAGAATTCTAAGTAAAGATGAACAATAAGTAAGCAGTTAATACCCTTGATGTCACCGAACAAGCAACGGAATATAGTGATTGGGAAAAACATATCGGACCATGAATCAAGACTTGGCCAAATAACATTTCTCACGTATTTAAATGTAAAATATCCTCCAAGAACGCCTGTTATCATAGCATAAAATGCAAGCACTATGAAATATCTTTGATTTTTGAATCCAATACAGTTTCCAACCATGAAACAATGATGATCTCTTTTGAGTATACACGTTTTACAAAATTTACAATGATGAGTACGAGGTGGAACATGCATTTGACATTCTTTACAGAAGTTCCAAGGTAGAGCCTCTTTTGATGTCATATCATATACACAATGTCCATTCAGCTGATTCTGATTGCTAGTAGCCTGTTCAATTGGTGCTATAAAGTGATCAGGCAATGTGTCATACTGTTGGTTCACCTGCAGAAACGGGTTGTCTTTAGTTTTCGGGTACTGTGGGTCATACAAAATTACACATAACCAGTTAGTTAAACCATTGAGCAGTACAAACCATGCCAGGACTTTCATATAGTATATTGTCCAAGGACTGTAATCTTCAAATATGTGGGGTATGATGTAATACATGAATGCGTAAATCTGGGTCGGTGCTTGAAACAACATGAGACCTCGCATAAATATCTGAAATATAAATAGCAACAAGGTGAAACAGTGTCATTATATGACATATACTATTTTGACAAAGTTTTAACAAATATAAATAGAGTTTATCTTTACGATTATTTCCATGCTATTAAATAACTTTTGGAAAAACTAAAGTTGAATAAAGTCATCTAAATATATATTGTTAAAATGGGATTAAAGAAAAACTGTACATTTTCTTAAATAATGTATGTAACAGTTAATATTTTTATGAGATAAGTATAAACATTACGCAGAATAACTAATTTAAAATGAATAATTATTAATTGATTAAATCAAGGCTGTTTTCAAGATTATATATGTAGTGAAGTACCAATCTAACAAATGGTATTGATGTAAAACTATCAAGTTTGTATTAAATGAATAACTAATTTGCTAAGTTGAAACAACTATCTCAGAACATAAAGAAAAAAAAGGTTATAACTACATTAATTTAAGAAACTATGTGTTATGAGATTTTACACTCAGCAAAGTTTTTCATTTTTATGTGTAAGCTTTTTCATCCTTCACCACTGACTCAAATGAAATACGAGTGGAAACAGGGTGTTATTTGAAGCTGATATAAGTTTGTATCAACAATAAAATCTTAAAATACTTTAATTTCATCAGACTAAAGAAGTGAAGTGTGATATAACCAAAGAAACACCAAACGTCTATAATTAAGCTTCCTTAGAGAATCATTACAATTATTGTATATTTTAAAAATATTCCAAACTCTTCCCTTTATTATATAAAGTATATAAAAATGTAATGATGTTGATTAAAGATATTATTAAAGCGTAATTAAAATATGTACATATATGTAAGTATGAGTATTATAAATAAGATATAAGATAGAAGAAGGTTTCTACTAAACATACATAAAGAAATATTGTATTAAAAGATGTTCTAATAATGTCTCTATCATTAATATTATAGATATAAATGTATGTCCTTCTACTAATCAGTTTTGGTAACTTGGAATATTTTAAATTTTGTGCCATGTTAGCATTGTTTTTGTCATCAGTTCTGATGTTCACATGCAGATATTTATTATGGTACCTACAACTTGTATAAAATCATTTGCTTCTTTCTTTTTTCTGTCCATATGTTTCCGCCATTTTTCCATGAAAGATAGGTTTTCTTCCTCTGGTGCCGGTAGCCGTGGAAACTTAAACCAGGACAGGCCTGTGTTACTGGCTTGACGTCTATGCATCATTTTCAAACCACACACATAGCCAAACACCCTTACAAAAGAGAAAAAAATCGTTCCAAGTTCCCATTTCAATGAAGCTATTGATATTGAGTGTTGAGAGGAATTTTGAAGTATTTCACATCATACAGTACAAAATGTACAAAATGGTCAAATTTGTTTTAATTGAATAAAGATGATAAGATTCAAAGTTTGTTATAATATAAATAAATTTTTTACACGAAAATACAAATTATCATCAACAAATATTTCAGTGATAGATTTCTGTAATTGTTTGAAAATGTTATTTGATTCAAAATGAACTGTATGATGTGTATACAGGAGATTTCTAACTTATAAAAAGATTGCTGTGCTTTTCTGAAATTCTCATCTATGAAAGAAAGAACTATAGTATTAGCACACACACAAGACACTGCAACCATAAACTGCTTAAATGATATCCCTTCAGCTAAAGTACTGTCTTATAGTTATTTTTGATAACTACTTTGTTAACACTCTCCATTTGTACACAGAACTAAAGCATATTTAGCAAATCAAAGAAATGAATATAATTATGCTTGTTACTAAATATAAATGTGTAAGTGTTGTAATAAAGTTTAGGAACATAATTATTTTGACCAAATAAGTAATGCAGTTAAAGGCAATGTTATAAGTTGAAGGGATATATTTTAAGCTAGCTACTGGTTTACAAGCAAAACTCTAATTCAAAATGTTATCTTGAGCTAAATTAGTCCTCAGTGCCAGCATATATAAGTCAGGCCAATGCAACAGTCTACAGACTGTATATACCTGAGCATTTTTAGCTGGACGCCCTGATTTTACATGGGAGTCATAGTTATCTCTCCATTTTTTGTTCTCCTGCTCCAAAAAATTTAAAATTCCAGACTTAATTTCATTTGTAGCATGCTTCCTTTGAACCATTTTGGCTGTCTGTATAAATTTGAAATAATTATATTAAGCAATTATAGAAAAATACAATGAAGTCCTGAGCTATAACATTATCTAAATTTTCAAGAAAGGAGTATTTCGTACTTCATTATATAATCTTAATTTTAGGTAAGTACAAAATATAGGTAACGCATTCATTTAATGTTCATGATCTATTTAAAAATTTTATAGAGTATGAACATTTCATAGATCAAATTAAAGCAAATCTGTTAAATATTGGTTTTATATTGAATTCAAACATGATTTTTTTATCCAAAAATAAGTATACAGTAAATACAATGTTTGAAAATACTCCTTTCAGAATAAAAAAGTAATAATAATTGACATTTTACCTGTATGATTATCAATAATAAAAAATACTTTTTAAGTATAAAAGCCAACTAACCAAGCTTTCCTGATGATGTTTTTTATTATTTTCCACATTTTAATCTCTATGTCTGTACTTGCCAAATTTTGTAGAATTAAAAACACAATTATTATCCTTTATTGTAAATAATAGTCAGTACAAAAATATAATCCTCTATTTTCTATCTTAATCTCAGTTTTACCAGACGCTTGAATAGCAATACCTGATAGTTTACACAAATATCAGCATATCATAACTTGTGTAGTATGTAGTAAACTTCTGAGTGTAAATAAATAAAGAATGTAAATGTGTGAAGTTATTTTCACAATATCTTTATAAACATCACATATCACTATAGTGTTAACATATAAATGTGTCAATATATTTGATCCTAGTGTAAACAGGCAGATTGAATTATTGATTTCAGTGTACCACTAATGAAGAAATCTAGTGCAGTCATTCAATGCCAGATCGAATGAAGCTAGGCCCATTAATTATTAATGGTTTTAACTCTGGTACTCAGTGATTTTACTGTATTTTCACTGAAAATTGCATTATTTAGTCAAGCATGACTGTCAAAAATGTACTTTGCTTAATTTAAATGCTAAAGTATTAGATTGCTACTGATCGAGTTAGAATCTATATAAAAACTTTTAAGATTCAAAATTAAATGAATAGATTATTTTGTACAAAACAATGAAATTGAATTATTTTACTTATCCAAGTTAACTTACATATTCTTAAGTGAAAAGAAAAATAAGCATTTTAATAATGAAACAAATGAGGAAAAAAGTAAGAAAAAAATACCTTTTTTATGTAAAAATTCTCTTTTTAAATGAGATAAAGCATTAAAAATCTCTGGTAACTGAGAAAGTTTGTATTAATATATACAGATCTCAACATGTCTAAACCATGTGGCCTGACGGATCAATTTCGTGTAGTGTATACTTAATCCCTAGCTATTCATACATATTGTTTATTTGTGTTATTGTTAGCAGTAACCGGGTAGAAAATTATGCAAGGGGAACTAACTGTGATATACAAATCCATTTTTATTGACTTGATTATTTCCCATAATATCATTGTATCATAATACATGTAATTCTAATTTTCAGTGGTCTGGTTGTGCGAAATGGTAAGCCAGAAGTGGTAATACCAGAGTTAATTCAGAAGCTTGGTAGCGAATCTGTATATGCAGTTGCTTTCCATGAAGAGGTAAATCCTTGAAATGAATTGTTTAAGGTGATAACTTCTTACATGTACCTATAGCACCAGTGTCAAGTCAATTACCAGCCTGCACTTGCATAAATTCTTTCCAAATTCTTAACTGTTGGAATGTTAGGTTCTGTATTCTAAAGTTTTTAACTGTTTTGAACTCAAAGCAGGACATGATTGTGACATGTCCTGATTATACAAAGTCAGCAGGGTTTGGTTTAATAAACTTTAGAGGCAGCTTATATAGCAAGCTTTTGTTCTGTTTTTGTATTTCAAACATAAATACATGGTTTGACATTTGTTGCCATTTAAATATAAATCTCCAAGTTCAGCAAATGTTAAAAAGTTAGCTTCTAGTGAATTTGAATAAAAGTCCAAATCAAATTTTCAACAGTTTCCATAACACAGCAAAAAAAACTTGCATCTTGGTCTGGATCTGCCATCGTCGGATACCCATGATCGATAAACATGTCACATAACATGCAATCAATAAATGTTAATGGTTTGGCCGTGTGTATCCGACGATGAATGTTAATGGTTCGGCCGTGGGTATCCGACGATGGGATCTGCATGATGTGGAGTTAACATGTTTGACAATATTGATAAAGAGCTACAAGAATCTTCCTCTGAAACAGCAAGGCACAGTTGTCAGACATTTAATATCAGACATATTCTGGTTGACCTAAACTAAAATTTATATATGTAATGCCACTCTGTATTTTGCTATTTTCATTTACATCAGGAAAGACAATTACAATTGTTGTCTATTCGTAACACACATAATTGTACTTGATTATTTTGACAATTTATTCACATATAATTATGGTTGTTAAAATCAAATAAATATCTTTATTGATCCAAGTTCAAAACCTTTATATATGTAATCATTATAAAATGGTCGTAGTATCAACATAAGAACATATGGAGAGAGAAAGTACAATATCAGTTACGGTATGTAAATATAATTTCAGGTAACTCAGGAAGAAATTGATGTGGAACTTGCTGTTGAGAAACAGTGTACAGGCAAAGTTATACAAAAAATCTGGGGTCATACATTATTTCACAGAGATGATCTGCCATTTTCTTACAAACAGTATGTTAACATTTTATAGCTTTCAAATTTATGGAATTTTACTTTTGATTTTAGGATGAGCTAAAGATGGAATTTTACTGTTAAAACACATAACTTTGTGTTTAATTTAATATTTTATTGCCTGATTTAAGAATCATTTAACATCATAGACAACTCTTCATGCATGTGCACTTCATATTTTGTGTTTTAAATGGAAACAAACAGTTTTGTTTAGGAAACATTGTAGCCCACATCTCGTGTTAAAACACAATAATATTTTAAGGTTGCCAGATGTGTATACACAGTTCAGGAAGCGTGTAGAAGGTTCAAGTACTGTACGGAAATGTATTCAGATGCCGGATCAACTAAATCCTTTACCAGATGGTATAGAAGAAGGAGAAATACCCAGCATGCAACAGCTTAGTGTTGAAGGTATAACTAAGAGTTGATGATATAAGTGTAAAATGTAATCGGTGTAATGAACGCCAATTTTAGCATAAATTTATTTTAAGGGCAAAGTTATGCTAAAATATCATGTTTTATTGTTCCTATTTGGTCATATTCAAGGAAAAAGCCACGTAACTAGCAATTTATAATTAAGTGCAGGGACTTATCATTGAATGGCCTTTAACATGATATATTCATGATCATGGAAATGTATTTGTCATCGCCAGAATTCAGTGTCTAGTTTTGTTACCTTCAATAATGTGGTAATCAATTTGGCTTTATCTCAATAGTCTTGATATTAACTTTCATGAAAATAGTTCATTACATTTTAAATCATAATGCTTCAGCTTATAATGTTGTTACAGAGATTGCTGCTGATTCCAGAACAGCTTTCCCATTTTCTGGTGGTGAGACTTCTGCACTTGAACGTGTCTGTAACTTTCTCTGGGAGACAGATGCTGTGGCAACATACAAGGAAACAAGAAATGGAATGATTGGTGCTGAATACTCTACAAAATTTTCTTCATGGTCAGTCATATCTTTTCAGAATACTTGTAAAAGTTCTAGTTATGTAAGGTCAGATCTTTATGACAACTGTTCATTGTGGAATAGTGTGGTATAGGTACTGAATAATTTTGGAAAATCCCTTCGTGTAAGGCTAGATTTGCAGTTTTCTTTTCAAAGTAATATTATAGTTAATGCCAAAGAAAGGACTTCCAAAGAATAACCAATGTAATTTTAAGGAATACATGTATTGCTTTTGGCTTAATTTAAAATTTGAATTGAAGCAAAATAGTTTAAATGCAATTTAAAAGAAAAAAAGAAAATTTGATATATAAAGAAATGATTGGTTTTCAGGTTAGCACATGGTAGTATCTCCCCGAGGTTTATCTATTATGAGATTAAACGGTATGAACAAGAGAGAGTGGCAAACAATTCCACATACTGGGTAATATTTGAGCTACTTTGGAGGGACTATTTTAGATATGTAGCACTAAAGTATGGAAACAGGCTGTTTTATTTATCAGGAATACAAGGGAAACAGGTGCCATGGAAACAGGATCAGGCATTGTTTCGAGCATGGAAAGGTAACTAGCTTGTTAAAAATGAAATTTTAAGTTTATTTGAATCATTCTAAGTCTGCAATCCTTGCAGTATCCAAAGACTATGTTATTGGCTCAATGATTTTGATATTGAAATCTCTTTCCATATTTAAAGCAATAAAAATCTATACTGGTTGGGGACCACCAAAACCGGACAACCACCAAACCCGGACGGCCCCGAAAATGCTTAATTTAGTATTTTCTTTGTTCAGTGGTTGTCAATCACTTTCTTATCAACAATAAGTGCATGTTTCTCTTAAAATTAAGTAAATAAATTTATTTCAACCCCCGTAAATGGTAATATTTTAATGTCTATTTCAAGAATGTTGACGTTGAAATATGGGGATCAAGAAAGCAATGCATGACCTCATATACCAGCTATAATCATTTGCGAGTAAACAATAGAATATCCAAAACTTCAGCATTTGCTGCTGAAATATTGTTTATCATGTTGAAAATCAAAAATCAAAACACCCAAGCTTTTATCTAAATTAAATCACATCATGTACATATCTGTCCGGACACATGGTACTGTAGTGTAGACAATTTAGGTAATTTTGATACCCTCCTTGTTGAGCCTCAGATGTAAGTGTCAATACAATCAGAAATAAACAAACTAGTTTTTAGTTAGGAGAAGAACCTAGCTGAACTGTGTCAAATTTTTTGGTCTCTAGGTTAAAAATTATGAAATCTATACGGAAAAATGTTTAAAAAGTGTTCGTTTGATGGTCTCCGACCAGTATACAATGTAGTATCAGCAGATAAAGTGTTTTCATATGTAATTTTTATATTGAAACAGAACTTCTTTTAATATAGGCCTACATTGTACATTGTAATTTGTTGATTTTACATTGGAAAATACTGATTGCTTTTACCCTTAACATCGCTTTTACCCTTATGATGTTAGATATCTTACATGGACTTGACCAATCTGGGCAAATCCATTCATCATTTAAAGGGAAAATGTTCAAGCTAAGTATTGACTGACGAACAAACAGTGCAGACTATGATTAAATGACACAATTGTGTGGCTGATCTTAGTTTGCACTGGTCACATTGGTAGAATCAGTTACAGCCCGCAGATTAAGGGTATGATCTTATGAAGTTTCTTTCTGTAAAATGATCAGTTAAAATGTTTATATTCCTGATTCCATAATATTACCATTATATTTTAGAGGGAAGAACTGGTGTACCGTATGTAGATGCCAATATGAGAGAGCTAGCAGCTACAGGTTTCATGTCAAATAGAGGGAGACAGGTAAATATTACTCTGGCTTATCATTGATAAAATATTTTGTATGACAAAAACATTTATAGAAGGGTAAACATGAACAATATATTGTGTCAAATATTAAAAGTTTATAAAGCTATATACATGTATCTGCTGCAAAAATATCGTGTGGATATTAAGGAAAAATACTTAAAAAGGCCTGTAGAAATTTGTTAGTATGTTGCCTATAAAGTGAATAATGCAATCATGAAATCATTGCTAAATGGTATAACCCGACTTAAAATAGCAGCATAGCATTTTGTTCTGGAATATTTTATTCTGTTTATGTACAATATTCATGTGTTTTGAATAACAGACATTTTATGTTACTACTCTTTCAAGAATCAACAATAAGAGGGAAACAATATAAAATATTTCATAAGATATACCTTTAAACCTTTGAAATACATTGTGATACACTAGAAATAGAATGAATGATAATAAAAATTTGCACAGTCTGATCAGGATCCATGCTGTTCGCTTACAAACCCTATTACAAGTAGAGAAACTGATAGCTAACAGCATGGATCCTGATCAGACTGCGCGGATGCGCAGGCTGTTCTGGATCCATGCTGGTCGCAAACCCACTATGTTGGTTTTGTCGTGATGCGGCTCAAATGTCATTATAATGTTGGTTCTGCTTGGTTTACATTATAAGAAATACAACTCGAAATTGTATAAATTTCAGAATGAAAAATTACACTTGTGATTTATTGATGTAGTAAAAAATGATAATATTGTAGAATGTAGCAAGTTTTCTTACCAAAGATCTGAAGTTGGATTGGAGATTAGGAGCAGAATGGTTTGAATCTATGTTGGTAAGTTAAAGTATGTTATAAGTTGAATTACTTCAAAAATCATTGTCTTTAAAAAGTGATGATTGAATTATGTAAATCTTTAAATCATGGCTGTTTCAGTATATGTATATATGTAGTTTCACCTGCAAATACAATAATGACACTGTACTTGTTATTTACATATTTTCAAGTATTTCTCTGTGTTGAGTTGTCTGCATATTTAAAGAAAGAGAAACAAAAGTAGTCTTTGGCAACTAATGAGAATATCTTATCCATGCCAAACACTGTAAGACAAGCTTTCCTTCTCACCAGATTGGCTATGTAATTATATCCTTTTGATATTGAATTCTTTCGTATTAGTTATGGATCATGTCAAATAAAAAGCATGATTAATGTATATTAAACAAATTAAAGTGGCATGCCTCCAGATGAGTAAATAAATGTCCACCAATGTAGCTGGAAAGTCACCATGTTAACAGTGTTGGTGACCCCAACCAACAAAAAAAGTTTTTTATATGAAATATTATGATTTGATGTTGTTATTTAGATATATATAATTCAGATTGATCATGATGTATGCAGTAACTATGGTAATTGGTTATACAGTGCTGGATTAGGTAATGATCCGAGAGAAGATAGAAAGTTTAATATGATAAAACAAGGTCTTGATTATGACCCAGAGGTATGTTTATACATGTATTTATATAACTGATGAACAATGTAGTTAAATTATATTGTATGAAGAAACTATAATATTTCAACATCCTTCTTAAAAAAGCAGAACATTTTTGTAAATAGGCAAACATATATTTCATTGCTTTCTTTTTATTAAACAGACAAAAAGCTATTGCATGTATATTTTATTAATGTGATATGTTTCAATTTGAAGCAATTTTAATGCAAGAACAATTTGTCCTTTCACATAATTTTTGTGTCACCTTGAAAAAGGCGACATATAGGGGTTACTTTTGTCGTCGTTGTCGGCATCGTCGGCGTCCCCTTAAGCTTGTCCAGAGCATAAGTCAGTCATTATAAGTCGGATTGACTTCAAACTTGGTATGCATGCTTCTTAAAATGACTCGAAATGCAGTGCACAAGCCTCAGTACTCTGCACTTCTTAATTTTTGAGTTATTGCCCTTTGTTCATTTTCATACTTTATTTTTGTCCAGGCCATTTCTCCTAAAGTATAAAAGCTATGGACATAAAACTTCATAAGATGATAGATCTCATTAAGAAGAAGTGCAGTGCACAAGAACTGGTATTCTGCATTTCTTATTTTTTGAGTTATTGCCCTTTGTTATTTTTCATACTTTATTTTTGTCCAGGCCATTTCTCCTAAAGTATAAAAGCTATGGTCTTTAAACTTCATAGGATGATAGATCTCATTAAGAAGAAGTGCAGTGCACAAGAACCGATACTCTGCATTTCTTATTTTTTGAGTTATTGCCCTTTGTTAATTTTCATTCTTTATTTTTGTCCGGGCCATTTCTCCTAAAATATAAAAGCTATGGACTTGAAACTTCATAGGATGATAGTTCTCATTAAGAAGAAGTGCAGTGCACAAGAACCGGTACTCTGCATTTCTTAGTTTTTGAGTTATTGCCCTTTGTTAATTTTCATACTTTATTTTGTCCAGGCCATTTCTCCTAAAGTATAAAAGCTATGGTCTTTATACTTGATAGGATGATAGATCTCATTAAAAAAATGCAGTGTACAAGAACTGGTACTCTGCACTTCTTTATTTTCTTCATTTTTGTCATGGCCATAAATTCTCCTAAACTATATTGTTCACAAGGCGACACATTCGACTTGCGGAGTTCTAGTTCCTGAATATTTTTTATTTAACACTTGGAAATCCGCATGAAATTCAAAATAAATATAACATGTGTATCATATGTTGATACATGTGGCAATCTGTTTTAAAGAAATGATAGATTACCTGTTGATAAAGGTTGTTTAACCATTTTAATGTTTTTAGCTCACCTGAAAACTTTATGTTTAGAGGTGAGCTTTTCTGATAGCATGATGTCCGTCATCTGACATTCATTTGTTATCCATATTTTCTTTTTATCTACACTCTAACCTCACAGGAATAATTCTCGGGAGGCACTCTTAGAATTATTTACAGGTTCCAGTCTAATGCACAATTACATAAATAGTATGTAAATTATGCCTCCCCGGGACCAGGACCTTGCAGTCCTCTATAATAGTATATAAATTAATTGGAACTCAGAGGGCCCTTAAGTTTAAATAGACATATTTAAGTCTTCTTTTGAGGAAGTTTAATGCCAAGAGCTAAGATATTTGACATGTGAACTTTACAAAAGTTATGTATATAATGGCCATGGAGTAAAAAGCTGCTTTGCTTTTGGAATAGTCTTATTTTCTTAAAGGGAGACACAGGCAAAATTTTCATTTCTTAGTTTTGAATTTTTCATTCCTAATTCTGTAAATGCCCTCAAAATGAATATATTAGACAGTCAAAGGAACAAAACTTTTCTCCATATAAAGAATAAAATGGTGGTTTCCTAACCTTACCCGCGTGGATCATGTTAGAGCGCTAGGATTTCACAATAGTTGTCACAGTCAACTCTGGAAACGTTAAAGAACATGTCAAATGAATGATTTTGACTGGTTTCAATCATCCAATATCCACAGTATCTGTTAATGTAACTATAAGGATTTGTTCAAGTCACCTGACTTGTTTTAAAACTATTCGGTGATTCTATTGGCGTCTAAATTTTGTTCAACATATATACATGTAGATATATTTATGCTTCAAATCCAAAATATATAAAATTTAGACAGAAATTCATGCTGAAACTTTTAGAAATGTAATTTTAGCGCGAGTTGAGTACAAAAGATCATTTTAATATTTTTGTCATTATTTTGCCTGAATATCCCTTTAATATGTCTTAAAAATGTTCTTTAATGAAACTATAATGCCCAGAGCTAATATGTTTACTATATAGCCTGTGCTTGTGGTCTTCTATTCTATATCATGCCACAGGGTCAAAAAAGGCCCTCCCCTTGTATTAAGTTTATATTGATGGGAAAACACAAATAAGTCCTTTACAGTACCATCAGATTAAGTATTTGTCATGTAGCTTTGTGCAATGGATTTTTACAAGTGTAATTTAGTCATGCTCCACACCGTAGGGATGACTTAGTTTACTAGACTTTAATAGAAATATGTGCAAGGAAATTATGCCCAGATCTTAGATATTTAGTATGTTAGCAACACCTTGTTGTGCTCTACAAAAGTAATATACTGAACCAAAAAAGAAACTTTCGCAAAGTATGTGCCAGTTGTTCAAGGGTACCACTTAGATGTACACACTTATATACATGTAGTAGCTTGTAAAACAAATTTGGTTTGCAAAATTTTCAGCTAATCCCCGTATAAAAGCCTGATATGTTTATTCAACGTAAAAATCGAGTTTCAAAAGGATTGAAAAACTGTACTAACATATCTACATTCAAACTTGGAGAAAGTTTTTTTTTTGTTTCAGTATATAAATCATGCCTATTGGGTTCAAAATTGGCTCTGGTGCTCATTTAGTTCATAAAGACTAATATAGTTTAAATTTACTTACATAGTAAAACACATTTAAGTCTTCTTATGTGAAACTACAATACATTGCAGTAAATGGACCTATACAAAAAAAAAGATTCTGTCCCAAGAGTCACAAATGGCCCGACATATGTTTGGCCCCCGCCCTGTTGGAAACTTATTGTAATAGACTATTTAAGTCTTCTTGCAAATAACTACAATGTCCTTAGCTCAGATATTTGGTAAGTAGCATTACCTAGTGACTCTTACTTACAATATTATATAAAACAGGCCCCTTAAGTAAAAAATGCCTCGCCCCTTATGTAAAAAATGCTCTTACCCTTAGGTAAAAAATGCTCTGCCCCCCCCCCCCTTAGGTAAGAAATGCACTGCCCCTTGGTTCACATCTTACCATTACTATGCGTGTAAGCAACCTTCTAATCAAATACTTTAATGCTTAGCACTTGATGATTTAGCATTTCCTAGTAGATCTCTATAAAAGTTTTATAGATTACTAGTATTCTGCTGGGGTCAAAAATGACTATTTGACTAAATTAACTACTTCTGCATTGAAGAATTATTGCTATTTCTAGCAATGGATCTCAAGTGAGCAATTCATGGCCATGATGGTCCTCTTGTTGTAGGGAGACTATGTGAGGTTATGGGTACCAGAGTTACAGAATGTGTCAGGTGGTAATGTACACACTGTGTGGACAATGAGCAATAATGCCCTAGCCAAGTTGGGCATTTCCCTCGGGGAAACCTACCCTAATCCTATAACTGTAGCTCCAGAGTGGAGCAGACATTATGGTAAATCTGTAAGTACAAGTCATGTAAAATGCTTGATAAATTTCTCTTTTAATTATACAGTTATTACCATTTTATAATGTTTGGAAATTTATAATCAAACAGTAAAGTAATATTTGTTAAATTAGAACTGTTACAACATTAACATTAGTCCTGTGACATTAAAATATGAAAATATTAATGTTATTGGTTTTAACTGTGAAGGATTACGGACCCTCATGGTAACAATTGGGAATCAGCTTTTCATAACTGTTATTCTTTTCTAGATATTTTTAATGTACAAGTGATCGTTGCTTTTTACCTTTATTTCCATCTTAGATAAATGCATGCAGCTAAAATAAACTCTCCTATCCACAAGCTCAAAAATGAAATTTTTCCAACTACTAAAATGAGACAGTTTGAATTTCCATTTGAGTTTGTAATCCTTAATACACGTTATCATATAAACATTTAATTACAGGGTGGTGCTAGTGCACGAGGTGGTGAAGGTGGGCGTGGTAGGGGAGGGTACAGTGGTGGTGGCCAAAGTCATGGACATAGTGGAAGGAAAGAATCTGCTGGACAAAAACGTGGAATGGATTTCTATTTTAAAGGATCATGATATGGGAACTTGTCAGAATGTGATGATATAGAATATTGGTGAAGTCCTAACAATCATATTGACGAGACTTATCACATGATGACATTTTGGTGATTTAGGATGATCAGTTAAATGAAGGGACAATTGAAGGAATATTTATTTGTGTTTTTGAAACATTTGTCCATTTAGTATAAAAATAACTTATATTTGGCATTATCTACAAGTGCAATGACCGTTTAGCTTTTAATTGTTTGACGGATATTAAATTTTAATTAATTACAGTTGTATTTACATATACATTGTATTTAAAAAAAAATTGCTTGCAATTGAAAGTTAATGTCCTCTCTTAAAATGTTTACTTTTTGATGATATTAAACATCTACCTCACAGATAATTCATCATAATTGGTATTATTTATGAAATATAATAATTGTTACTATAGAGATTTTTTTGAATGTGGCAACCTCAGTAGTAGCTCAGTAGTTCAGATACAGAATGTGTTCATCAGATTTACTGAATATAATTGTATGATAACATACTTTATCACATACCTGTGCCCCTTTTGTGACTCCCTAAAAATGGTATTGCATGGCCAGTATATAGTTTGATGTGATGTCATTTACCTTATACTATAAGAATCTTACACCGGCTGCCGGTACAGACTGGAAAATCTAGCTCGAGAGTAACTGTTTTCAGCGGTTAACGATGCTCTGCCAAGTTTCTGCTAAACAGTTACCCTAGAGCTAGATATTCCCGTCTGTACCAACAGCCGGTGTTTGCTTCTTTTTCTTGCATATTACATGTCAATTATTTTCGGAACAGAAATTATGAAACCTGATATTCTCATTACGCACTTTTTTCTTATAGTAGCGTATGAACATACAACTTCATTCATAACGGAAAAATGATGTCATCCTAAGAAAGCGATTCATTCATAAAAGGCGCACGTCAATGACGTCATTTAAAGCATGCGACTTGTCTTACATGGGGGTGTAAGACAGAGTTTTCTAGCACCGGTGTAAACTGTAGTCAATTCAATATTGAATCAACACTTAATGATATCCACTATATATGAAGGATAGAATCAATAGATGATTTTACAGAATTTAAACAGCTCATGAAGGTAAAGAAGTATAGGGAGAGAATAAATTTATGCTCCCTGAAGGTGGAGAGCATAAAATAGCATATTACATATAAGTCACCAGTGCTAAAATACATTTTTATGCTTTTTCATACAGCCTTTCTTCATTGACTAGTGTCTGATTTGGTAGGCAAATATCTTGGGTGGTCTTACAACTTTTGGTCTCGTAAAAATATTTTATTACAGTTTTGCTCATGCAGCGTTTATTGACTGAGGTCTTTCATATTTTGATTGTTCCTACTGAGGTCAAGGTCACTGGTGCTTTAATAGATTTGAACTCTTTTGCTCTTACTGTCTTATTTATTGAACCATCAAAGACATACATGATATGAATTTCTGCATAACAGCATTTGAATTGTGGCAGGGTCCCATGGTTATTATGATAGTGCATACATGTGACAAATGAAATGGGCCAAATCTGGATTTTCGGCTGGATTTTGAGGCTCAAAACTGGATTTTTTATCGACTTGAATTTCAGTGCGTGTTTGGCACAAAGAATCTATATTACCCTCAAAATTATTAAAAGTGATAATACTTTTTATGACTTTTTTGTTGATCAATATTAATTTATTTCACCAAAAAAATAAATAAATAGATAAATAAATAAGTGTAGTCATACTGGCTATTTCTAAAACAGTCACACTTTCACATTTCATTATTTTCAGTTTGAAGAATTATAATGTCTTTTCAGTCATTCAATAATTAAACACAAGCTATTTGAAAACGTGCAACAATTATTCATAAACATAAGACTATGACAATTAAATAACGTAACATAAGTAAAAGACTCAAAATAAATGCAAGAATCGTTCCGTTATTAAATCCCATTTTTGCCTCGATGATTGCGTAATTCCTAAACAAAACAAAAAATTACCCACTCACTAAAAATAGGTTAATTAGACATCTCAAACAGGTTTTGAATGATTCTGCTCCCCTTTTATCTTTATCAGTGCGGCACTAATCAAAGAAAATCAAAGGTTGATCCGAATTCATACATGTAAATTTACAGGGTAGTTTTGATGACGTAGCGTGTAATACCTACTGCCAAATTACAAAAGAGGTCAATTGACTGACACACGACACGTGATAAGATAAACATGTGAGAATAACTTTGGGTATTGGAACTGTTTATTACGTCACCTTGCTGTCAATTAGCACCTCAACATTTAATCCGCTATAATTTAGGATATGGGCAGATAACAATCAATGCCCGGAGGCACGGTTTACATTTTAGATACAGGTGCTGTGTTTGATTTTTTGTTGTTGATTTTTTATTAAATATCGGGAATTCAATCTGTAATATCGGGAATCGGGATCAGTGTTGAAATATCGGGATTTTTTAAAATCCCGCCGGGATGTCACATGTATGAATTAGTGTAAAATTGCCTTGTGTGACAGTTACTAATGATAATCAACATCTTTTTGTTTTGAAATTTATTTAGTGATTCATTATTACTCTCTCAGTAGAATGATTTGTATATATATGTATATTTATTTATCATTAGATTTATTTACTTTCAAATAAAACCACAAAAGTAACATAATTTACAGAATCGAAAATGTTGACTCTTTGTCAGTTCCCGCTGAAATCTGGTTCACATTTCCCGCCACAAGATCTTGATGATATTTGTTTTGAATAACACTGGAGAAGCATTTCATTGGCTTTCAAAGTTCATTGGACTGATGCACACTAAATTATAAAAAAACAAATGCACAGGTATTGGGAGCATCCATTGCCTTTCTCATGTCTGGTATAGAATTTTCAATTAAATATTAAATTATACATGTCTTGACTAAACTAGTAATCTGTTGCGTTTATAAAATGTTTGTAACTTTAAAGTTTTGCTTGAAAGGTCAAAAGACTATTTTAAACTATATTGTGGCGGTAAATTGATTTCAGTGTTTGTGTGTATAAGGGCAGATCTTTTAAAAATCTGTAAATGTATGGGATAATGTTTGTTTTATATAATCCATGAAATGGTATTTCTTTATTTTACTGAAAAGTGGAAATAAAGAGTATATAAGTCACAAAATGACTAACAGAATCTGTGCAACTCATAAAATGCTCTCATTCAATTTAATGCTGGTTATGTCATTTACTTAAATATTTATGGTAAAACCAATTAACTTAATAATCTAAAATAAGCCAGGGTTACTTTTGTAAAGAGAGGGGATTTTGTTGCTGTATCATTGATAGATTGTCCCAAATAAATACTAGTATTGTTTATGTAAACCATAATAATTCTGTTATTTTAAACTTATGCTAGAAGTGACTTTAGCAATAATGATATGGATTTTAATTAAAATGATCAATCTGAACTGGATATAAACGGCACATGTCCTCCGGAAGTTGACATTTTATCTTTATTTGCAGTAATTTAGCATGCAATCACTAGTCTTAGTTTATCTCTTTCATTATATACAGCTCTATACAGAATGAAAGGGACTTTGACATGACAAACAAAATAAGTCTATGTAAAAAGAACCTGGTTGCCTAAAATGTCCTTGACAGTCACTTAACAAAATCAGAAGAGACCTATCATAGAATGAATACACATTCTACTCACACAGTTGTGTTATATAATTGTATATTACTATGTATTCTTTTGTGCGTTATGTGACTTTATTAAGCAAAAGCTTTACTATTACAGAATGTTTCTGTAACTTGAACAATACTTATACCTCAATAAAATGGTGATCAAGGTGAAAAATTATATTTTTATGCCATAGCAATCTGCGATATGGTGGCATATAGCGATATTCACCTGTAAAACATTGTTTTAATCTAATATACAACATAAAACATGTATAAAATCTGTCTAAGATACATAATTTTTATTATCTTTAGCAAGTATACATTTAGAACATGTAAAAAAATGTTGTTTTACCAAATTTTTTTTTTCAAATCAGCAGTCTTTTTCATTTGCATTGTGATCAATTTTTATACCATCCCAGTGAATACCGTCATCTCTCTGCCGGAATACCAGTGTCATCGGAAATAGGAAGTTCAAACCCCAAAAGTCTCCAAACACAGATTTCATATTTGTGTTGAAACTATTAGTATTTTTAATTGGAACTTTCTTAGCCACTTCGAACAGTGTCTTTCCTTCCAAAGTTATCACCATTTGTGAATTAAAGTAAACAAATGCTAGAACACTAAAAAACAGATCAATATACAACTGCATGATCAAAATACAATGTAAAGCCGAAATGTTGCGAAATATTGTACGCCATATTGTCAATGGCAATAGTAAATCTGACCATGAAGTTAATTCAGGCCAGACAACATTACAAACATATTTGAAAACAAATATACCACAAATAATACAATTAATTGTTACATAAAATGTTAAGATTATCCAGTATCTTTGATTTTTGAAACCAATACAAGTTCCGACCAAGTAACAGTGATGGTCTCTTTTCAGAATACACGCCTTACAACTGTCACAATGATGTGTACGAAATGGCACGTGCATTGAACATTTGTCACAGAAATTCCAAGGAAGGCCTTCTTTTGTTGTCATATCATATACACAGTGACCATTAGCTCCACTTTGACTTGAAGCTTGTTCAATACGTGCTGCAAAATGATCGGGAAGATTTGTGTCATGTTGTTCCATGCGAAGATACGGATTGTCTTTGGTCTTTGGATATGCTGCGCTATATAGCATTACACAAAACCAGTTAGCCAGCATATTCATCACTACATACCAAATAAGGACATTCATGTAGTATCTTGTCCATGGACTGTAATCTTGGAACATGTACGGAATTATATAATGCATAAAAGCATATAGTTCTGTTGTTGATTGGAATATCATGATAAACACGATCATCTTCTGAAATATTAAGAGAGGAAAATTAGAAATTTTAAAGTGGTTCAGTTCAGCTTTAAGATTTTATTTTATTTTATTTGATAGGGTTTTTTTTTTTGGGGGGGGGGGGGGTGGGGGGGGGTTTGTTTCAGTTTGAAAAAAAAAATGTTTATCATATTCTGACAACAAAATTAAATATAAGCAAATATACTAAAGATCTAATGTTGAATCATTTGAAATATAAAATCAACTGAAGTTTATCAAATCTAGATTTTATAACTCGATTTGTAAAGGTATTTCAGGTCAGATTTTTGTATTTTTTGCTGTAACTTGGGAATGGCTATATAACTTTTTAAATTTATTAATGGATTGTCTTCATACTTAGGTCTACACAATAACCTTCAGACAAGACATTCAAACATACTTGACTGTCTAGATTTTTGTTACTAGATTAAGTTACTATATTTTTCTGGATTTTTGCTTTAACTTGCTACAATTTTGAGACATAGATAACTGATACAGACAACTTCCTAAACAGTTAAATATCACATGTGCTTGCTACAGTAAACTTTTAAAAATCTAAAAAAAATCTAAAAATTTAAAAATCTTTTGGCAAAAAAACGTATTAAAGATCATTAAAATAATACATTTTCTCATTTTACTGACAACTTATACAGTAGAAAGTTACCAATATTTTAACATGCAGCAATAGATAAATCTTATATCATATTGAATACTATAAGGATCCAATTAAGATCCATTAAGTTTTAATTGCTATTATTACACTACTAATATGCCTAACTTTTCACTTTTTGACTGAGTGATCTTTCAATGGAATATGCTGCTTATCTCTATATAGATCTGTAATCCTTAATTTAATTTTATATTACTTCATGAAATTCTGTTGCCTATGTATAAAAAACAACAAAAAAACAAAAAAACTTTACAAAATCAAACCATTGATTGTAAACATTCAGTGGTCGCCATCTTGTATTTATAGTAATATAGTATGACGTCAGTAAAATGCATGACGTCACTTAAGGTAGTACACCCCTAATGCACTGTCTCCACTTTGAAGAGTATTCAAATAGGCTCAAATCACTGTAAAGTGTATTGAAACTGAGGGGGCGTGGGTTCAAACCCCAGAAGGGGCAATTTTTTTTCTTTCTTTTTTTTCTTTTTAACATTTTTTATTAATCTCTCAGACCCCCTATGGAAGAAAAAAGTGTTTTGTTTTAATTATATAATTATTGTAGGTATTTATTTACTAAATAATGTCAAATTTAATAGCAAATATGATACCTGATATTTTCAAAGTTTAATAAAATAAAAACTAAACGGTAAAGGTATTTTATATTTTGCAAGACCAACCAATATACATTAAAGAAAATTTAGGCAAACTTTGAAAATAGCCCCTCATTTTGGAAAATTTTAGGGATATTTTAAATAAGGCTTTTTACATAGGGAAATGGTCAAATTAGTGTTAAAAGTGGGTGGGGTAGGGTTACTTTTTTATACATAATAAAAACATTTTGTTTAAAAACAATCATTATGCTTGTTTAATTTGTTACCTATATGTCATTGTTTATTTCTTAACAATGAGCAAAAGAAAAACATTTTTCATAATGATGATATTATAGATTATTCAGAGTTTCCTCATTTCTGAAAAAATCCCTTCTAATGGCAAAGTTTTAGTTCATAAAAATGTCCATAACTCATAAACAACACGGTAAATTTTGTTTAAATTTTGCATACAGGTGACATTTAAGGCATATAACTGTCCTATGTTGTCAAATTAACAATTCCTTATAGTGCCCATTAGGGGTGTACTACCTTAAATACATGATGTAGGGGTATGCTTGAATGTATACTGCTTGAATGTATACGGCCCCTGTTTTTTTGTTATATAAGTTAACTCAAACTGAGAAAGGCATGAATTGGTGAATATTTGATTATGTTCAGGGTTGTCGATCTGTGTTCTTAACGATTGTAAGCAGCATTTTGCATAATTTATTTCATTTTTATTTGTAATGATATTAATTATATACTGCCATTTAATATTTAACCTTGTTTAGATCTGTATCTTTCTGGAGAAAAATTATATTATTTAATTAAAGGATCTGACCCCATTAACTCGCACAATTTTCTTGAAAATTTACCAGCAAATGGTGCCGTACGTAGTTCTCCTCAAGTTCCAATAGCCAGTTACCTAGTTTTACTGTTACATAGAACTTTATTAAATACAAATAATTAGATCTAATTAATAAGCTTTTTTTATATTGACAAATTGACTTTATTATCTATAGGTGTTCCGGATTTTTTTCTCTAGCTCCCTGATATACTAGCTAGTATCTAGATTTAATTGAATTTGATTTGTTTTAAGCGCAATTTTAAGTTACAATGAATGTTTTTTACAGTCACTGTGGCTCTTTATTTTATACTATATTTAAAATGAAGAATTCTTTCTCATTTACATTTGAAACAATCTTTATTATACATACAAACGATCTTTTTCCTTCTTTGGCATTTTTCCTGGCGTTTTTCATCAACTTCTGGTGAAATGACAAATTTGTATCATCGTCGTCCACTGTTTCCGGCAAGGTCTTGTCATCATTTGTCAAGCGTCTCAGCGCCATTCTCAATCCTGGTAACCTTTTAATATAAAATGATGAAAATCTGGTTACTTATATAATAATATGAAGCGCAATGTAATTTCAATTATTGTTGGAACGCTCCTAATATGTTCATTCATTGTCATTTAATAGCGATGGTGTATTCTTATTTTCATTAATGAACGATGTCGCGTCTTTCTCTATTTTGCGATGAAGTAAAACCCGAATGCTTTGTAAAATGTTAAGAATAGTTATAATATTATTTCATATAAAATAAGTATAATTTCAACTGTGGAAAACGTCAAAAGAATAGCATGCGAAACGATATTTAATTACATATAAACTGGGACAGAAGATAACTATCTTCTTCTGTCCCAGATATAAAGCACATAAAGCAACGGCACATTCCTCTAAAATATTGCATTTTGCACATCATCCTGAAATGATGCTAAAACTATTAAGCCCCAACAATATTATTATTTTTATTTCACTATTTCACAAAAGTTATTAATGTTTGGTGTTCATAACAGTACTCATTCGGCATACAGCATATTTTACTTCTTTATTGGCCATTGCGCTTATAGTTTCGTGTACATGAAAAGCATTTAACATGGCTAAACCCATTACTAAAAACATGTTATATTAAAATAAAATATTAAATTGCGTTATACCGTAAGGAATGATTATATCAATACTGATGAAAATACTATTTTTGAGCACAGATGCTTAATGATAACAGTTCAAATATTTAACCTTTTTAAGTGAATAACATACCTCATTTCAATTTATATCCTTGAATTACTCTCAAAACAGAATTACCACATGTTAATTAATTAATATACTGCATCATAGTTATGTATTTCACCAGTTTTCCATCCCATGCAGTCATGAATCAATATATCGGTTACCTGAATTATTTACGTTACCGCGAAGTGAATATATATTAACCAATAGTTTCTACCTGCCAACTTAATTCAGTCCATCTTCCTTATAATTACACCAATGTCATAATTTATTTTACCTTTTACATATTATGCTGAAAACTAATCTCATGTTTGCAAAAAAAATGTAAATGTAAATTTATATCGTGTATGATATCTTATGTACATGACTCGATCTTCTATTATATCGATGAACTATATGCCACCCATGCATGAATGATATCGAAATACTCGTTTCGGCCTTAATCAGTTAATCAATATAAAGATAAGTCGGCAATATAACGATTGAAGGATCCGATCACATTGTATGTACATGAAGAAACAAAAAAAAAACAATGTGAAATATTGTACTAGTATCTGAACTACAGGTACAAGAAAACATTGGGGCTGTGATGTTTGGCATATACATGATAGACAGATATGTTAAGAATAACAATGCAATCTGGAAGTTAAGCAATTTATAAGAATTGTGTATCTACTTGATTATGCTCAAAATTTAAAGAGACCATTTCGTGATATCTATATAGTACTGTCTTCGCCTGTTGGTTAAGTGAACAAAAAACATAAACAAGAACTTTCTGTTTGATAGAGACAAGGACCTGGATAATGCAAGAACTAATCATGCAAGAGGAAGATTTCATTCACAAAGTACAAAAAATGTACATGACAGTAATAAATCTTATATTTTGACCAAAGAATTGTGTTAAGTTCACGAAGGCCTTATTTATTGCATTAAAAATCCATGCGAGAGTTATAGTTCATGGAAAGTGTTAACAAAACCAAAAATCATTTTTTTAACTTCACAAAGAGCCTGAATTAAATCATAATCCATGTCCATATGACGGACTTAAATATTGGCCTCCGATTATGATCCCAAAGATATGTGAATACCTTCATTGCTAGAAAATGGCCCTTGCGCAGGAATGATTCGTTAAGGTATCTGTAATGAGCGCATTTTTTTGCTGAGCTTTTCAATATTGTTGCTGCATTGCTGCATTGCAGCAACATTTGTACTTGTTAATAAGTTGCACGAAAAACCTTAAACCAAGAATTTCAAAAAGGGCGATAATTAAGTAAAAAAAATCCATGTCACAATTATGCACCTTTGATAATGATCTCTTAAATCGGTAAACTATTACGTTGATATATGAAGTTGCAAATATTTCGTACGTTCGTTTCCTGGTCAACTCACTCTTGATCGACTATTACCCTTCCGCTCCTTATTTTCTTACATATAGCGGAGATGCCCAAGTTATACTTCACTGCAGCAGACCGGGGGTCTGATAGGATATGATTTTGTTTAATTAAATATAGTTTATAAATACTTAAAATTATTACATTTTTGTACTATATTTATAATATTAAATTACATTCTTACAAAAATAATTCAAGGTGAAGACTGCGCGGCTATCCCACGTTTCCATTGATTTTAAGAATCACTGTTTCAATGTTGTAAAAATTTTGTAATATTGTAAATAGAACAAAAAGATCATTTAACCAACCTGGCATAAACTTCCAACTTTTTATCCTCCAAATATGTCCCCACAATGACGTATATTGACACAAATGTATTGAAATTCTACTTACTTATCGAAATATAAACACATCTAAACATGTTGTAAATATATATAATTGTTAGTGACCAGAGGGCAGATCTGAACTCTTAATCCCCCGTAAAACTGCCATACACATTAGCTCCAATACAAACAGCAAATAAACCAATAGATAAATTATAGTATTTTAATCGCGGTGCATTGAATAAATCTTTTATTTACGGCATATCTATAAACACTAAATCCGTGATCATATTTTTTTTAAAGTTGTGACAATTTAATACGCGGAAACAACTTTATATGGATCACTGAAATGTGCTTGGGTTGAAAAGGTATGTGGGTTTCCGGTAATATATATGATCTATAATGGTTAAAATTACCGGATTTTTTCCCATTCTTCCTCAAGAAATTGTATTGCGCGTTTTTCCGATCTCGAATTATTTTGTTACTTTTTTTGTAAGAAAACTATCTTTGACGATATGAATGAAGTATCTAGCGGAGACATATCGGCAAATTAAATTTGATATGTTTTTTGTTGTTGTTTTTTTTGTGTTATTATTCGGTATTAAACAACATGTTTCCAGATTTATGCTAATTGTTATGATAACTTTAAATGTTGTCTTTAAACACGGATTTATATTTGTAATATAAATCCGTGCTTTAAATTAAATTTTATTTCCACAAAACTTACCCGTAACTTAACAAAATATGTAGAAACTTATCTAAATCCGTTAGCAACGAGGTAGCATTTTGATGATAAAGTAGTTCATTATATCCTTATAAATGAAATATTGAAAAATATTGATGAAATAAAATGCGTATTTCCATTTTCCGTATTTTCACTGTAAAAAAATATGTTCCTTTGCATCAAACATATTTCCCGTATCTCCACTGGTTTCTTGCCGGACTACTTTCTTTTAAATTCGGCCTATATACACAAAATTTAAGGGGAGGACTTTCAAATTGTGATGTCAAAAAAATGAAAAATGTATATAATAAGCAGACAATTCATTTTTCCCCTATAAAAACAGGATTTATTTTGTCTTGTAGTATGAAAATACTAAAGCCGTATACATAGCTATCTAGTGCTCCTAGAAAATCTTTTTATGCGATAGCTATATCGTGCGCATGCGATAGATATTACCACGTGATAGACATTGTGTGCAAACGCGATATAGCTAGTACGTGCGCTTCCAGCCATGCGATAGGTATCATTAAAACTTAAACCTCATGGTCATGTAATACCATTCGCGTGGTCACATTATAGCTATCGCGTGCGCACGAATGGCTTTGGTATGTCCACTTACTGTCTGTTGCGTAGTAACGTAAAAGCTATTGCATGCGCACGTATAGTAGATGAATTTCCTAGGATATTAATATAACTTTGTAGGTTCTTGATATTTGTACGGCTTTAGTCAAAGCCGTGATATTTGTAAAATCGCATGTAGATTTCTATACTAAAAGTTTATTCGCTATGAAAATATGAATCTAATACAAAGAAATTATGAAACATATAATACAAAATGTGTTAACATATAAATCTACTACATATTATGGCAAAAAAAAAAATAGCGACCTCCCTAATTCGTATGCGTAATTAACTTAATTAAGCCCATGTCAAGCTATTGTGGATAATAAATGTTGCGAGATTTTCTTCTATTTTCATTTGCGTTTTGGTCGAGTTTTATACCATCCCAGTGAATACCGTCATCTCTCTGCCGGAATACAAGAGTCATCGGAAATAGGAAGTTCAAACCCCAAAAGTCTCCAAACACAGATTTCATATTTTGGTTAGCACTGTTCATGTTACGAACTGGTATTTTCTTATTCACTTCAAACAATGTTTTACCATCCATGGTAATGCACATCTGAATACTAAAGTATGCAAAAGAAAGCATTCCATACACTAAGTCTACATAAAGCTGTAATATTAAAATACAGTGTATTGAAGGGATGCTACCAAATAGTGTTCGCCATACTGTTATCGGAAAAACCAGGTCAGTCCATGATGTCATTTCCGGCCAGACCATATTCCTGACATATTTGAAAACTAGTGTACCACAGAGAATGCAATTAACCGCTACATAAAACGTTAAGATTATCCAGTATCTTTGATTTTTGAAACCAATGCAAGTTCCGACCATGTAACAGTGATGATCCCTTTTCAGAATACACGCCTTACAACTGTCACAATGATGTGTACGAAATGGCACGTGCATTGAACATTTGTCACAGAAATTCCAAGGAAGGCCTTCTTTTGTTGTCATATCATATACACAGTGACCATTTGCTCCACTTTGACTTGAAGCTTGTTCAATACGTGCTGCAAAATGATCGGGAAGATTTGTGTCATGTTGTTCCATGCGAAGATACGGATTGTCTTTGGTCTTTGGATATGCTGCGCTATATAGCATTACACAAAACCAGTTAGCCAGCATATTCATTACTACATACCAAATGAAGACATTCATGTAGTATCTTGTCCATGGACTGTAATCTTGGAACACATACGGAATTATATAATGCATAAAAGCATATAGTTCTGTAGTTGATTGGAATATCATGATAAACACAATCAGTTTCTGAAATTGACAAAGAACGTATTAAAATATTTATAATATTTACTGAAACAAAATGGTACGAACATTCGAAAAATACTTAAATTAACTTTACATTTTTAAATTCGCAAGCTGCATGGTTAAATTAGAAATTATTTTTTGTTGTTGATATTTTAATATAATTGGTCATGTATACATACAAATATTGTATTTGTAGTTTGGCCAGCTTTCTCTCTCTCTGCTATTTGTCTTTCCATTCTCTCGAACAGAGTCAAGTTCTCCTCATGCACTGGCAAGGTTTCATCATCATTCGTTGTCCTCCTAAACATCATGTACTATCTATATAGTCGATCTAAATAGAAAACATATTATAAGTAATAGAAAGAGCACCAAAACACGAGGTTATCTGATTTGTACGAGGGGCGTAGCCCCGAGTATTAATCAGATTGCCGAGTGTTTTGGTGTTCTTTCTCTTTTGTATCATAGTCAAACATAAAAGCACGTTCCCTGTTGTCACAATATGAAACCCCGGCAAAATGAACCAATAAACGAACATCTGAATATGACATTTCTGTCGCTTTCCCTTTCTCTGCCGTCACAGTATGTAAACCCCAGCAAAAATGAGCCAATCAATGGGCATGCTCTGGAGTGCGGGTAACTAATACCTGCACTCCAGTTAACGCACTGTGCATGTTAGCCTGGGTTCCAGTCTGTCGATTTTTTATGTGCTTCTGTTCGGCAAATCCACTATCAAAACCAGAGATGATGTATCGAGTATGAAATAGCGCGTAAGTTATGAATAAATAAAAAAAATATCAACGCCTGAATCCCAGGCTATGTGCATGTACACTGCGGTATACCGTACCCCGGATATTGCTCGATATTATGAGGACTTTCATCCCATTTCGCGACTTTTAACGGGGAACGAAGGTAAGTTCAGCGACGATATTTTTCCAAACTTATGGCTATTTCATTTATCTCAACGGGTTTTACATATTTAGAGGTATTTTTGTAGCTCTAAAAGACGTAAAAGTATTACAGGTATTTGTAAAATTGATAAAACTACCCCTAAACGATCCACTGCTCACTAGAAAATACTGACCGCGATACTGTAGAATCGTTAGAAATTATTATTTTACCAATATAAAAAAAATTGAATCGAGCAATTTTTTTATTCACAATCCAAGTATGCCTTGTCCAAATTTCAGGCAAAAAGTGTGAAAGTACAAAAAGATACAGGCCAAAAAAGATACAAGAAAGTGTACCGAGTATTGATTTTAAGTGTACAGAGTATTGCAAAATAGCCCAACTTTAGTGTACAGAGTATTGCAAAACAGAATGAGCACATTAGTATGGAAAATCGATATTTTTGTCTAATTTTCACGTCTGTTTATCGATTCAATTTCATTTTTCTGATAATGTACTGTTTATATGATATTTATTCAAATATTTCAGATTCAACAATGCATGTTATTACTGTTCTTTTCCTACGGGCAAATACAGAGATTTAATTTCCCATTTGATTGAAAATCACACTATGGATGAAATAAACTGTGTGCAGGGTCGGAAGCAGAGTAGAACCATCAAAATTGACGATAAAAATCTTTAAATACATGTCTCAAGAAACTTTGATCAAGGAGACCCATCTCTGAAAAGGACAAGAATAAAAAAAAACATATTTAGATGACATTAATAATAGGTTTTTACAGGGCAAGTTTGCCTTAAGAAACATATCGACGCACTTCATAAAATATTGGCCAAGAGCTTATGCCGTCCAAGCATGCCGGTATCGTCTTAATCTTTTACTGCATGAGCATAATGCGAAAAATGGCTGTTTTTATTGAATTATTGTTACAACTGCTATGAAACTATAAAAAATGCTTCAATGCTGATCAAACTGGGCACAAATGTAAGCTGGACCATAGCCTGTGGAATAGCATGCTCAATTTTAAATTTCCAGTTACCATGGCAACGGGGGGGATCGTCTCAAAATTGCCAAAAAATCTCTATCTACGTTGTTTTTTTCTCATCAAAACTGATTTCAAGGTGCACCAACTTCTCAATTGATTGAGATAAAGTCTAAGGTTTTCGGCGTTGATTACACGGTACCTTTAAATCGACCTGAGGCCATTTAGCCCCCCCCCCCCACACACACAAGTCCCAAGTCTTCTCGACGATTAGAGGGGCTACAGCCCCACTTCAAACCCCCAAACAGAAGGGGGAACATCCCCCTGTGTAACCCCCTTGTACCTTTTTAATGGGGGTGGCGCCGAAAAAGTGATCACTCTTTTGAACAACATTTCTCAAACGAAAAAACAGTATTTGGGGCTTAAATAGCGCATGTTTTACACTATTTGAGGCCTCAAAAGGGGTGTAAAGTCTTTAAAAACACGCCTTTATGAGGTAAATTGTTATAAGGAACATAACCTTTTTATTACATCTGCTGCCCTTTATCATAATCTTATCAAAATCCATTATTCGTTTTTTTGAGCTGTACCCGCTCGGCAGTCATACGGTAACTCATTGCTGAGGCGTAACAAAATTTCACGTGCAGACGGTCTGCCGTTGCTAGAGTGCAGGTGCAAAATGCCCGAAAATTACCTTTATATGGATTTTTGGCATAGAAGGACGTCGGTTGATATTAGATATTGGCACACTTGCTCAATACCGTCTAATATTGACAATCTTGAGGAAGTATTAATGCACTTTGGATGCATTTTTTTACTAATTAAAATAATATGCAATAATTATTAACAAATTCTGGAAAGGTTGATCCTTCGATAGCAACGAGAACATTTCAAACACAGAAAACTGAGATTTTTCACGAGCAGGAATGAAAATCTGGATTATTCGCAGATGTTTCCAGTAAAGTACCTCCGAATTCTGCATATTCTGCACATATAGTGTAAATAAGTATACACAGTAAGAAATATTTAAAATTAAATGTGGTAAATACTTTGTGTTTACTACTTGCATTTACTCTTTATTGATAAGCAATACTCGTTACACTAAAAAGCAATACTCGTGACACCGGCGGGCAACTCCAAAGCAATACTCAGTACACTGACCTGTGTATTTATTCTCATCTGAGGTTCTATTGTTGATTGAACATTTACAACATAAACATTATCATCATTATCACATTTCACTCGATTCAAGTTTTTCTTTTAAGGAAGTATATGCACAAAAACATCAAATTTGACTGATCCGAGCTCATTTATCACGTGAGCAAAAGACGAATTTTACCTCCTAATAACATTTCAAAGCTATTTCTCAACATTTTTGGGGTTTCAGTAACTAGAGAAATTATCGAAATATTTGTTTTTCTACAAAATTTATATCAAACCAATTCAAAATGACTAAATATCGTCATTAAACATACCTTCTTTCCTCGTTCAAAGTCGCGAAATGGGATGAAAGTCCTCATAATATCGAGCAATATCCGGGGTACGGTATACCGCAGTGATGTATATGTATACGATTTAACCCTGACACATTTTCAACAGAAAGGTCTCCAAACTATGATACAATACTTATTTTTAATTGTATCATAGTTTGGGGACCTTTCTGTTGAAAATGTGTCCGAGTTAAATCGTATACATATACATGCACCGTGCGTTAACTGGAGTGCAGGTATTAGTTACCCGCACTCCAGAGCATGCCCATTGATTGGCTCATTTTTACTGGGGTTTACTTATTGTGACGGCAGAGAAAGGGAAAGCGACAGAAATGTCATATTTAGATGCTCGTTCATTGGTTACTTTTCTCCTGGGTTTCATATTGTGACAACAGGGAACGTGTTTTTATGTTTGACTATGATACAAAAGAGAAAGAACATCGAAACACGGCTACGCCCCCTCGTATAAATCAGATAGCCTCGTGTTTCGATGCCCTTTCTATTACATAGTGAAAGGGTAATTATGTGTATGACGACGAATTTCAAATTTCAAGATAATCGATATCATTCTGTTCGTTGATCAGTGTTTTTTCTTGTTTATTTATTAGTTGAAATAATTATACCGTTTTAGCAAGCAGTGCACAATATAACAACAGTTGAACAGTCACGTAAACAAAAAATACTTAATGACCAGATCAACTGTCTGGGGCTCACAAATCGACAACAAAACGGAAAAAATATGTAAAACCGAGATTTTATGCAAATATACTGTAAGGATTTAAGTTTTCATTTTAAGGTTATTTTGCACAATCAAAATGTACCTGCACACTATATGTACATGGAGTGAGTGAACGGTCACTTGTTCAGATCTTCAAATGGTTCATAAATCTAGAAAAAATCCAGGCCTGTCATGTTTATAAAAGAATTCATTGGATTCTTTTTTACAATAGGGATCTACTAAGACAATATTTATATATAAAGAGATTTAGGTGACGTAACGTTCTACTTGCAGTTTTAATTTATGAATTTTAATGTGTTATTTGCCTAGGTATGTTTCTCACGAACCAAAAGTAGGTATTTATGAAACTACTTCCGTTTACAAAACTATAATATAAACAGCTGCCGTTGCTAAGCGCAAGTAATCTTGAAAAGCTGAAAGCAAGCGTATAATGCTGTATGGTGCTAAAAGCCAGTATTAATTATACAAAAAGGATAATAAATCATTTACCTTTTATGAAATCCTTATTTATGTTTTAACCCCAGCTTATTTAAAAATAACAAATCACAACATGTTTATAAATGACAACGTTGTTTACTTTCGCTCTTCGTGTGTAACCAATGAACCGAGTCTACTGTACTGTACTAAAACAATGTCATTTTTAAAACGCGTTTGATTTTTCATAATTATTTCAAAACATGCACTGTGTTATTATTAAATTGCCAGCACCAGAGACTTTAATTAAGACTTGTAAATTAAAGCTATTGAGTTACTGTAGTATTGGGATACTCTCCCTTTTTGTATTGTTTTTCATTACCTCCCTTTTCTTCAATATTTGAAAATAAATTACAAAATACATAAATCTAAAAAAATCAAAATAATTTCTAAGAGTAATTTAGTAAACTTGTAGTAAAGTACTTATCTATGATTCCGTAAACAATAGTGAAAAATAAGTGTCAACCTTTTCTAAATGTATTATATCTTTGGTATAAAAATAAACGGAATATCTCATTCAGTAACTCTGGTTTCACTACAGACACGAATAAATCTTTCGCCTTTTACTAAAGATTTCCGTGCAGTGGAACAATCAATGAGTCTATAGACTTATTTCTGAAATCCTCCATACCGGAGGATACTAATGAACATATCTAATTAGCCAGTCTACTAATGAACATATCTAATTAGCCAGTCTACGCTGAGCGTATTCTGATTATGTGGTTATTATTACATTATTGTTGTTTTGAGACAAGATAATCCTACACCCAATCTGACTGGAACAATTTACTTACAGTATGTGCTCAAGGGTAGTTATTTTTTTCTTAAACACTTGGTTGATCTCCAACTTAATGTACAGAACGGTGGTCAACATGTGAAACAAATTTTACTTTTAATAAAATCAAAAACTCTTTTCACTGTTGCAACTCAGATATTATTTGTTAAGTGGCACTAACTCCTGAAATACTTGGCAGATTTATATAAAAAAAATATGCTCAGGTTGCATGGTTTCCATATGGTTGATTTCTAACAGACTGATAAAACCAAGACTATATCCATCCAGCATTTTGGCAAGTAAGGGGGATGGAATATTAATAATACTAGAATGATTATTCCTCTTAATGTGCATACTAAAAGATTTTTATTATTTATTCAAGCTAAAATGTTTCGTTCGAAGAGAGGCTAAATTACTGGAGGTTTGTTGTCCTAGCTAGTTACCAACGGCAAGTAGCAAGGGACATTACTGCTGCTTATTACGATATAATCATGACACTGTCAGACTAACATTGCCTATTTCAACATTCTTTTTTTTTTTTTTGATCATATCATGGTACATCAAACAGGCTTAACTGGATAACTTACCAGTAATAATCAATTTCTCAGCAAGTGACCTATTACTAATCTCATTATTTTTGAATCAGCGGTGAGAGACAAATTAGACTCAATTAACAAGAGTTTACCAATACAGGAAATGATTTAGAGGTAAAACACAAGGTGTAAAAGAATTTCGACATGACAATGATGTTTTATTACAGAGATTCAGAATAAAAGGAAATGAGGATAATTACATTATAAAATGTTGATGTCTATACATATACTTGCAATACCTTCAACAGTATTTTAAATCGTTTTAAATCTAATAATATTTCAGCTGGAGAAAAATAATAGACTGCATTTAATGCAAAATAAATGTAAAGAATATGAAAACATGCTTCAAATTTGAAAAATAAAGACAACAATAACAGAAATATTGCTGAATATTTATAAGCAAAAAAGCAAAACCATCTAGAGAGTATACCTACAATACCTTATCAAATAATTCACATATCACATCATTAAAAAAAGTAAAAGTTTGGTGTTTAATGACTGTTCTTTATAACTTGTAGCTAAAACTATTTAATATGCTCAAATAATGAAAATCAGAAAACATGTGCATCAATATCTCCTCATTATCATCAAAACAAAAATATGAATGACATTGTGTATGTAAGTTAAGTATGATTGCATAAAATCATCCAGAAGAGGACTATTATGGAGCCAGAGAAAAATAATGTTATCGTCATTTTATGCTTTTCTTCACTTGCATTTGTTTTGCATAGAAACCAATTAAAATAAAACATAAAATTTAGTAAGCATTAAAATAGGTTCATGAGAATATTTTAAGGGGCTGAGTTTAAAAAGTTAAGAAACTAGGAGAATAAATAAACACTAATTATAACACTAACAAACATGTATTAATTAGATTTTGCACATATTGCAACCAAAAATTGTATACAATGCCACTTTACAAGAAACTTTCTGTAACTGCACATCAGTTAAAAAGCATTCCTTTCTTGATTATTTTCCTAACATCACGTAATTAATTATCTTATTGAAAACATAAACACATTTCATATTGACGAATCCGGCACAAAAAAACAACAACGCAAGTTCTGTTCACACAAAAATATGCCAATCTAAAAACATACATGTTAAGCCCGTTTATGAAAAACAAGACTAACAAGAGCTGTCACAGGAGACAATGAAGCTCGACTAATTAAATACTGGCTGCAGTAAGGAAGACAAAACTATGAAAGAAAACTCAATTATGATATAAATATATTTCTTCTTATGACAAGAAGTTATAGTTGTAAACATAAAGTCCAATTTCAAGGGGGAAAAATCTGGAAATAGTCACACTAGAGTTATGGACCTTGTCACATAACATGTGTGTAATGATAAGAAATATATATTTGAAGTTTGAAGTAGATACCTTAAAAAGAAAAGAAGTTATAATATTTCTTAAAGAAAATCAAAAGTTCAAAGGGAGATAAATATGAAAATATTACTTCAAGAGTTAAGAACTTTGTCACATAAGATCTAGTTGATGATGTTCATGGAATATGTATTTGAAGTTTGAGGTAGATACCTTTAAAAAGAAATAAGTTATAGTAAAAAATCTCATTTTTCAAGTAAAAAAGTTTAAGTTAATGGGAAGATAATTTTTGCAAAATTTGTGCTAGAGTTATGAACCTTGTCACACAAGATGTGGTAAATGATAATGAACATATATTTGAAGTATGAAGTTGATCCCTTAAAAAATAAAGAAGTAACAGTAAAACTAGAAATGTGTCCATAGGACACGGATGCCCCCACACGCCACTGTTCTGTCAATCTTATGACTCTAGGTCAAATATTTTTTGGACTACATGTGCCACAAGTTGAAAACTAAAAATCAACAAAGGGCCATAATTCTATTAAATTTTGTCGCAGCAAAAATTCCTTCTTTTACTACCATCTACACACAAAGGTTGTTAATCCCTGGAAGTTAAAGCAAAATCTGCCATCCGGTTTAAGAGGAGTTGCGTTCACAAAATTTCTACATAGTATATAGTGAAAAAATCAACAAAAGGCCATAATTCTGTTAAATTTGGTCGCAGCAAAAATTCCTTCCTTTACTACCATCTACACATTAAGGTTGTTCATCCCAGGAAGTTTAAGCAAAATCTGCCATCTGGTTTAAGAGGAATTGCGTTCACAAAATTTCTACATAGTATATAGTGAAAAAATCAACAAAGGGCCACAATTCTGTTAAATTTGGTCGCAGCGAAAACTCCTTCCTTATATTCCATCAACACATTAAGGTTGTTCATCCCTGGAAGTTTAAGCAAAATCTGCCATCAGGTTTAAGAGGAGTTGTGTTCACAAAATTTCTACATAGTATATAGTGAAAAAATCAACAAAATGCCATAATTCTGTTAAATTTGGTCGCAGCAAACATTCCTTCCTTTACTACCATCTACACATTTAGGGTGTTCATCCCTGTAAGTTTAAGCAAAATTTGCAATCCGGTTTAAGAGAAGTTGTGTTCACAAAATTTCTACATAGTATATAGTGAAAAAATCAACAAAGGGCCATAATTCTGTTAAATTTGGTCGCAGCGAAAATTCCTTCCTTTACTACCATCTACACATTAAGGTTGTTCATCCCAGTAAGTTTAAGCAAAATCTGCCATCCGGTTTAAGAGGAGTTGCGTTCACAAGATTTCGGGACGTACGGACGGACAGACAGACGGACGGACAAGTGCAACGCTATATGCTCCCACATTGTGGGGGCATAAAAATCTTGAAGGAAATTCCTAAGTTGAAGGGGAGATAAATCTGAAAATATTGGCGCTAGAGTTATGAACCTTGTCACATAAGATGTGGTTGATGATAAGGAGCATATATCTTTGAAGTACTGTATTCCTAGAAATGTTCGCGGATACAATATTTCGCGTTTTTCGCAACGTCGGCATTTTCGCGGAGACAAACTTTCGCGGATATGTAGTAACCGCGAATTCCGTGAATATTAAGTTGTTACGGCCTAAATAACAGTTTTTGGAGGCTACGTTTTTTATGCTTGAACTTGCATGTTGGGTGCTTTTAATTGCAGTACTTTATTTTTTTGACAAGTCGCGCCTAAAGTGCAACATTACTCGATACATTTTCATCCATTGACTTGTCGAACAAGAACGGTTGTTCCGTGAACACATTCATATTTCCTTACTTTTTTCATTATGTTATTAAGTAAGATTAAGTCAGACCCGTTAGCTTTTATTCTCATTTGAATCAAAACTGACTTTATCTTCAAAATGTCGATACGTATTTTTTACACATTATCGGACTGTACATCGCTTTCATTATAACAACATAACAGCTGTTTATCAATGTAGCACTTGATCTATTGTACTTTTAACAAAGGATTACAACTACTCCAAGCAAATAAAACCCAAGTCATTCAATGTTCGCAAACTGTAAATGCGTTTGTCAACGCCGTGACCAGCAAATAACGCCAATAAGCATGTTAATTACTAATAAAGTTTTTTTTTCTTTTTCAGCGTGCAAACTAGTATCAATAACATACATAAATAATTCTTTACACATTTCTATAACACCTGTGTTTTTATGTTGTTTTGTGTAAGTAGATTATAATAAATATTCTGCACTTTTTATGTTATATTTGGTTGAAGCTAGAAATGTTCGCGGATTTGTTATAAGTGACATATTCGCGGCTATAAAGATTCGCGGAATCATGCCTACCACGAAAACCGCTAACTTAAAATGCGCGAAATCTTTTCTAGGAATACAGTATTAAGTTGATCCCTTAAGAAAAAAAGAAGTAACAGTAAAAAATAATGTTTTTTAAGAAAAATTCTAAGTTCAAGGGGAGATAAATCTGAAAATATTGGTGCTAGAGTTATGAACCTTGTCACATAAGATGTGGTTGATGATAAGCAATATATATTTGAAGTTAATACCTTAGGAAATGAAAAAGTTATAGTGAAAGATATTTTACTGCATCAAAACTAAGCTAACAAGAATTTGTAACAGACTTACCAACGTCCCCCGCCTCGGGGAAGTTTTATATGAAACGTAAAATTGTGCTATTTCAAAAGATTGAGGTATGGAGTCCAAAATAATGATCAATGCTAGATCTGCAAATGCAACAATAAATTTATTAAAGAAATAAAAATGAAACACGGAATTTTAAAATCTATCATGTTAAGCTTTGACCTCTAAGTGTGACCTTGACCTTGGAGGTAGGGATGCAGGTGTTGTGAATGACATATTTTATTATTGTAACTATTTGTGTCAAGTATTTTCAAAATCCCTTGAACTATGAAGAAGTTATAGATCGGACACAAAATATACACTATAACAGACTATGTTAATCTTTGACCTCTAAGTGTGACCTTGGAGGTAGGGACCCATGTTTTGCTCCTGACATATCGTCTTATTATCGTGATTATTTGTGCAAAGTATTTTTAAAATCCCTTGATCTATGAAAAAAGTATGGACTGGACACAAAATATACACTATAACAGACTATGTAAATCTTTGACCTCTTAGTGTGACCTTGACCTTGGAGGTAGGGACACAGGTGTTACGCATGACATATTATCTTATCACTGTGACTATTTGTGCCAAGTATATTCAAAATCCCTTGATCTATGAAGAAGTTATGTACGGGACACAAAATATACCATATAACAGACTCTGTTAACATTTGACCTCTAAGTGTGACCTTGACCTTGGAGGTAGGGGTGCAGGTGTTGTACTTGACATATCCTCTTATTATTATGACAATTTGTGCCAAGTTATTTCAAAATCCGAAAGAAGTTCTAGATCGGACACAAAATATACCCTAAAACAGACTATGTTAATTTTTTACCTCTAAGTGTGACCTTGAACTTGGAGGTAGGGTCATCATGAAGGTGTTAAGCATGACACATCATCTTATTATAGTGACTATTTGTGGCAAGTATTTACAAAATCCTTTGATCTATGAAAAAGTTATGGACTGGACACAAAATATACCTTATAACAGACTATGTTAATCTTTGACCTCCATGTGTGACCTTGACCTTGGAGGTAGGTGACCGATTATTGCGCATGACACGTCGTCTAATTATTGTGAACAATTGTGGCAAGTATTTACAAAATCCCTTCAAAGATAAGAAAATTATGGACCGGACACGACATATACCCTCAAATAGACAATGTTGACCTTGAATGACCCTGGAACTACTGGTCTGGTTGTTGTGCATGACACATCGTTTTATTATAACAAACATTTGTGCCAAGTTATTTCAGATTCCTTTGATAAATGACAAAGTTATGGTCCGGACACGAAAGTGTGACGGACAGATGGACAGATGGAAGGACAGACAGACGGACGGATGGAGCCTATTTCTATATCCCCCTTTTTTCTTCGAAAAGGTGGGGGACAAAAAGGAAGGACAGCATTCAATGAACACATCAGATGCACATGGGCAAATAACTGAGAGGATGTCATTATAAATTATCTAAATTAGGAAATCATAGAAACCTACAAGATAATTAAGGTCAAGGAAGAAAATTAAATGAGAGACAAACAAAAGGATAAGGGTGTTGTGGAAGAGGCCAGGATGGGAAATGGCCCGAGAGGAGAAAGGGATGGTACTTGCTGAAGACGAGAAAAACAAGAAAGGACAGAAAAGTGTCACTACAGTTACATGTAACAATAAACAAGACAAACATCTGAGAAACAGAGGGGTGCCCCCTTGGAACAGTCACCAGTTAATGGTGCACCACACCTCACTCTTAGCACCAATATTTCCTTTTAAACAAGTCAAGACAATAAAGTGAATCCTCATCAAGCAGGGCTCGAATTTAACACTCGCAAACTCGCAAAATGCTAGTTGAAAAATGATTTTGCGAGTTAGATTTATAACTACTCGCAATTTTTTGCGAGTTGAAGAAAAAACAGAATACGCTCGTCAGTAAAATCCGAAATATAAATGGGGCGTAATATTCGCAGGTAGCCGAGTTATAAACTATGCGCGCATTTGCTGTCTGGTTTACATTTTCTATACCTTAACCTCGCTTAAAAAAGTATACAAATTTAAACCAGTCCAAATGTCATTTTGTCCGTGTAAATCAAGCGTGATCGGAATAAAATGTCTAAACGAAAAATAACGAACTTCTTCCCACTTACTGAAGCAAATGTGTCTTACTCTGAGTACAGAAGATGATTCACAGTCTATCAAAAGAAAGACAATCAGACCTTCAGTTAAAACGGTTAAAAATTGGGAAAAGAACTGCACGTCAGTCTTATGTATCGATACTAACTCGATGACGATGGAAATGTTGCCAAAATATTTTGCGCCGATTGTTGTGCGCATAATCCAGACCAGACATAGTCGGTATGGCGACAATATTGCATTATTATTTTTTTACATGTAGATTGACATTTGCTAAGAATCCCTGTCCACTAAATCAAGTTTTTGAGTAGAAAGTTACGTTGCTGATTCGTACCCCGGGCAGTTCGAACTCGTCCAAATAAATTACAATTTTAAACAATTTTGGAATTAAAAAATCACTGTCATAAAAAGTGCTAGTTGAATTCAGTTTTTGCTAGTTAAAAATTTGTCCACTAGCAAAAAATTGCTTGTGGCCAAAAAAGTTAAATTCGAGCCCTGTCAAGGGAAATTCTAACAGTTGTTATGTTTACAAAAGGTGGAATAAATAAAACACAGAAATGAACATGTACATACATATAAATAAAAGTAAACCAAATGACCAAAACAAAAATAATGTCTTAAAAGAAGACAGAGTAGCAAGAAAATCACCTACAAGAGCCCAATGAAGCAAGGCATTAAAACACGACGTAAAACTTTTGCTCATATTTTTTCCCCTTATTTATTAGGTCAGATGTTGACGTAACAGCTGGTGTAAGGAATTTCAAGTGTGTTACCTAAAGCACAAGCAAGCTAAGTAGAACAAGCATTTGATAGTATTGTGGGCAATACAGTAGTCCCCTACCGGTCCCTCAAAAAGTTCTTTAATTGTCATACACTCCTGTGTATTGCCATTTATAATGAATTTGAGGATGAAGTCTGTATTTGAAAATATCAACCACAAAACATAATAAAATAAGTTTGTCTATATCACAGTAATGTGTTAAGTTTCCATGCTTAGTAAGGAAATTATGTTTATACAACCTTGTCATATTATTACGATGTGGGATTTTAAAGTAAATTCCCTATAAGGAATGAAGAAGTTGGAGTGAAAATACCAGTTTCTCGAAAAAAAATCTAAGTTCAAGGGGGACATAATTCTGGAAATAGTCTTGCTAGAGTATTTAACCTTCTCAAAAATGTCGAGTGATAATAAGAAACATATATATGAAGTTTGAAGTAGATACATTAGGAAATAAAGAAGTTATTTAAAAAAGACAACATTTTTTCCCCTAAAAATTTAAGTTCAAGGGAGGTCATTACTGATATTTTTGTGCTAGAGTTATAAACCTTGTCACATATGATATGGTTGATGACCAGAAACTTATATTTAAAGTTTGAAGTAAACACCTTAAGAAATAAAGAACATATAGTGAAAAAGCTGAAAAATTTAAATCAGAAATCTTGAAATTCAGGCTATTTGTTGCCATAGCAACCAGAATTTTCAACATAGGAAGAAAAGAAAAATATGTGCATAATCTCTAGACTGCCATCTACCCATATTTCAAGTTTCATAAAAATATTTTCAGTACTTTTTGAGTTATCACTGGATCCAGTTTATGTGTTAAATTTGCCATATTTTCAGACTATTTGTTGCCATAGCAACCAGAATTTTCAACATAGGAAGAAAAAAAAAATATGTGCATAATCTCTAGACTGCCATCTATCCATATATCAAGTTTCATAAAAATATTTTCAGTACTTTTTGCGTTATCGCGGGATCCAGTTTTGTGGACGGACGGACTGACGGACTGACAGACAGACGGACAGACGGACGGAGGGTAAACCTAAAGTCCCCTCCGGTTAAACCGGTAGGGGACTAACAAGCAGTAAGCTTACAAGGCTAGTTAAATCATTGTTTCCTTACAAAAACATGTAATTGAATATGAAGAATTTAAGATAATACAAAAAAAAATGCTTGCTATACATATCTGGGAAATATTGTAAAATATTAGCAGTGTCAGTAACACAAATGTTTATCAAGTATTATTCCTTTTCTCTTTATGAAAACATATATTTTAAGAGTTTTATTTGAATAAAGCAATCAAATACCATATGAAAAAATATTTTCTCTCTGTCATATCTGATTTTAATTATTTTTTGTTATTGGTTGTATTTTTCGTTGCATCAACACAGTACAGGTTATATGGCTGATTTTGAGCTTAAATGGTGAAGGTAGACCTTTAATGCTTTATTTCAGGCACAAATGAGCACTGAGTAGAACCACAGAAGTTTCATAAGGTAGCTGGATAACTTCCACACATTAAATTATCCAAAGTCCCTGGCACGGTTCGAACCCAAAACTGAGGGGCAAGTGGTTTGAAGTCAATAACCTTAACCCCTTAGCAATGGATGCCCCACATTTTAAAACATTTGGGATATCTGATATTTTGAAACACACAAGTAGCCGATAGACATTATCTTTCATTTATGCCAGAGAATTGCTGAACTGTGTTAAGTTTCACAAGCAGTGTACATCAGAAGATTTTATTCAATCACAACATCAAATAGAATGTTTATGACATGTACTCTACAGCTACTGCTTGGATGCCACAAAACAACATTAAATGCAAATTTAGCACCAGTAAAGAGGCAGAAAAAACCACTTTCTTGCATCACCCTGTTCTATTGAATTTCATGAACAAAGACTACACACAAGCTTAAATATTGTTTACTTCACATTGATATTTTATACAAAAATAGTTTTCTTATAATGCTGAAGAAAACAGTAGTTATGTGATAAAGGCAATACATGGTTGAAAGTAGTTCTTGAAAAGGTCAATCATCACTTATATACGTCTTTGTATATCATTGCTCAGTTTATGTCTCACAGCTTCACTAACCTTGAGAGATCATACACACAAATTTAGATGGCAGTGTCTCAAATACAGTTATATTGAACTGCTATTTTAATCAACAAGAAACAGGTTTCCTCACATGTGTATTATATAGTATTTATCTGTCACTAGTTTTAAGAACAGATTTGTCTGTATTTTCATCATCTTCCCAATAAAAATCTTCTTCCTGGGAGGAATCCTCATGATTTTCACTATCCTCTTTGTTGTTCTCACCCAGATAATTATGAAACATTAACTTTTGTTGTGGGGAAATCTCTGGAACCTTTGCCTAAAAGACAATATTAAAATATCAAAATATTTATGCATTATTCGTATATTTTTTCAAAATGCCAGTTTTTATTACATGCTCTTAAGAAGACAAAGAAATTATTTTCATAAAATTTCACAGCCAAATCATAAAATATAATTTTCATAGTTGCCAGACAGTACAGTAAAATTTCTGTGTTGAACTTTGATTAGTCGATTTTCTCTATGTGTCTAAATAAAATTAACGTCCTGTTTTTCCTCCTATATATAGTCCAAAAGTACAAAACCTATATACGAGTCAATATGAGTCAATAAAATATGTAATATTTTTACAGGTGTCACAACTTGACCCACCTTAGAACATGCATGTAGTTTGTTTTCATTTGTTTTTATTGTTCCTTACAGTAACATTGTTACCTACATATGATTATTTTGCCAGCTTTACAAGCAAATGAAGATTTTTCATGCACTTTTTCATGTACATTGTTTAAACCTTGGCAGAACCACCAATCTGCGAGCTAGCTTTCTCATTGTTAGTGATCAGATAGCACAAGAATTTCATAATTTAGTCATGTAAAATATCAAATTTCTAACATTCAAATAGGACAAATAGATCAAAACCAACACAAATTTCGATATCAATACATGTTTCGTTTTATTAGCTTCGTCAGTTGATACATTAAGTCGGTTGATCTACTTCTAAACTAATCACATATAGGTGTTTGTTCAACTATTCAAAATGTCCTTTTATCAACCACCTACCTTTTTCACTGACTTAGGAGTAACATGTTTCTTTTTGCCCCTTGATAAAAGTCTTCTTTTGAGAATTTTATGCACATATGCATCAGTATCACCACTGAAAATAATAAAGTCATATCTGATGCTTAAAATCTGTTTCATGTTTTCAAATTAAATTGGTTAATGGGTTAAACTACAATGTACTTTAAATACATACAATGTTTTGATAACAGTTACTATTACACATTGACTTTATAAACATAGTAATATTTTCAGGTTGTTACTATGTAACTTTTACAAGAAACCTTTGTAACTAAATTATTTTTCATCAAGAGCTGTCTACAGAGCAACGATAACCCCATTGCTGGGTTGTGGAACAAGAGATTTTTTTAAGTAAGTTGTAGAAAGGTCATTTTTATGTTTAAATCTATAATAAAGTTATGTACTAGGTTTCATTCAAGAGAAGGTGATAACCTTAAAACAGGAATAAATAATACCTGTCAGTTCTGTGGAAACAAAGGGGATACGTAAAAAAAACAAAACTGAATGAAAGTTGTGACAGTTTTCAGTATGCTGAAGTGGTGTTTGATGACAATTTTGTCTAAAAACCAGATCTACATAATACTGATTTTTTTGAAGGAGCAAAATGAACATCAGGTTTTCTATATGGAGGTAGAATTAAGCATAGGTATGAGGAAATTGGTGTTACCTTCCCTCCAATGTTTCTACATTGATATTAGAAACTGGAGTCTTCTTAGTTGAAGCAAATGGTACACTAATTCTCCTACACATAGTTTCTGTGCTTACAGGCGTCTCAAACCTCGACTTGCCCTGTTTCCGAGCTAACTCTTCAAAGATTGCATCATCATCATTTTCCCCAAGAACCTGTTGTAAAATGTATATATATAAATACATCATTCTCACATGAATTTTCACTTGTTCTGACTTTGTTGTTGCTTTTTTTTTTGGTAAGGGTTTACGTTCCCGCAACACTGTAAAGGTCATATAGCTTTCCAGCTTTACTTTTGGAGGAAGACCTCCCCTGCTGTACATTATTTCAGGCAGTAGAATTTCAGTAGAACCAACAATATTCCATAAGCTAGTTGGATAGCTTTGTTACATGAAAGAACCAAAAGTCCCTTCCAGGATTCAAACCAACAGCAGTGAGGGACAAGTGGGTTAATGCTGTACTTTACACTTTTCCTCAAGAACAGTCTTCCACTGGAACAGACTACCCTCTAATATTGTTTCATAGCCAACTTAACCAGTTCAATATGGCTGTAAGCTAAATTGAGCATATCACTCAATAATAGATAGCTAAAAAGCTTTTACTTTTAACAAACCCTATTCATTTCCAACTGTCTGATTTGGTTTTGTCACACCGACACAGTATAGGTCATATGGCGACGTTCCAGCTTTACTAGTGGAGGAAGACCTCAGGTGCCATTCTGTGCATTATTTCAGACACAAACTGTCACCTGAGTAGAACCACCGACGTTCAGTAAGCTAGCTGGATAGCTTCCTCACATGAAAGAATCCAAAGTCCTGGTCGGGATTCGAACCCATAGCAGTTAGGGGCAAGTGGTTTGAAGTCAACGACCTTAACCACTTGGCCACGGACGCCCCATTTCCAATTGTTATTTCATATATATTTTCCCACCGTTACTATATATATACATGTATGTTTATTTAATCTTATATGTCTATCTAACTTTCATTATTATCAAACCTCTCATGAGGACATAGACGGACAAGATTTATATTTGATATCATGCATAAAATGTATTAAAACTAGTCATACGAAGTTGGCAAAGGTTAAAGTTATTATTTAATTACTTTTGTAACAAACAAGTTTTATCAATAAAAGAGATATTCTAACCTTCCTTTTTCTTGAATTTCTGAATGGTGTGGAGTCAAAGATGTCATCTGTGTAATTATCATTTTGTTGTTCTAGCAAGTCTTTTAATTGTTGTTTTCTCTTTAATGTTCCAACATTTGCAGTTAAACTGGTCACCTTCTCCTTTTCTACACAAATAAAACCAATAAAAATACAAGTAAATTATAGTATAAATATCAACTAAACTTACATATAATTTTAATAATGGATTCAAAATGACTATTTATGATATAGCACTTGAGGGATATGGAGGCCCTGGATTGTTTACCTGAGAAATGAGACAAGGATTTCACCACAAATGAAAATTCAAATTATTTAAAGGTCATTATTAGTTTATTTTTCTGGCCATCTTGTTCAGGATGCCAATGGATTATAGCTTTTTAGCTCGACTATTCGATAAGAATAAGTAGAGCTATTGCAGTCACCCGAGCGTCGGCGTCGGCGTAACCACTTATGTTAAAGTTTTTGTAATAGTTCAAATATTTTCAAAGTCCATTGACATATGGCTTTGAAACTTTGCACACTTGTTCACCATCATGACCCCAACCTGTAGACAGGAGGAGGTAACTCTATCAAGCATTTTGACAGAATTTTGCCCCTTTTTCGACTTAGAATTTATGTTAAAGTTTTTGTAATAGTTCAAATATTTTCAAAGTCCATTGACATATGGCTTTGAAACTTTGCACACTTGTTCACCATCATGACCCCAACCTGTAGACAGGAGGAGGTAACTCTATCAAGCATTTTGACAGAATTATGCCCCTTTTTCGACTTAGAATTTACGTTAAAGTTTTTTGTAATAGTTCAAATATTTTCAAAGTCCATTGACATATGGCTTTGAAACTTTGCACACTTGTTCACCATCATGACCCCAACCTGTAGACAGGAGGAGGTAACTCTATCAAGCATTTTGACAGAATTATGCCCCTTTTTCGACTTAGAATTTACGTTAAAGTTTTTGTAATAGTTCAAATATTTTCAAAGTCCATTGACATATGGCTTTGAAACTTTGCACACTTGTTCAACATCATGACCCCAACCTGTAGACAGGAGGAGGTAACTCTATCAAGCATTTTTGACAGAATTATGCCCCTTTTTCGACTTAGAATTTACGTTAAAGTTTTTGTAATAGTTCAAATATTTTCAAAGTCCATTGACATATGGCTTTGAAACTTTGCACACTTGTTCACCATCATGACCCCAACCTGTAAACAGGAGGAGGTAACTCTATCAAGCATTTTGACAGAATTATGCCCCTTTTTCGACTTAGAATTTACGTTAAAGTTTTTGTAATAGTTCAAATATTTTCAAAGTCCATTGACATATGGCTTTGAAACTTTGCACACTTGTTCAACATCATGACCCCAACCTGTAGACAGGAGGAGGTAACTCTATCAAGCATTTTGACAGAATTATGCCCCTTTTTCGACTTAGAATTTACGTTGAAGTTTTTGTAATAGTTCAAATATTTTCAAAGTCCATTGACATATGGCTTTGTAACTTTGCACACTTGTTCACCATCATGACCCCAACCTGTAAACAGGAGGAGGTAACTGTATCAAGCATTTTTTTTACTATCAAGCACTAAGAATAGTCGAGCGTTGCTGTCCTACCGACAGCTCTTGTTTTATTGTACAATACCATCCAAGGATCATAAATACTAGTATATTGTTTCATCAAAATCTGTGCAGGAGTTTAGAAGATGTGCTAATGAGAACTAAATTCTTATCAATAATATGAGACATGGAAAATGTATATACAAGTATAGGAATGACTCTCAACTTACACTAAAATATCTCCTAAGAATTTGAAGTTAGTGATTTGAATGCTTCTAAAATATCAAATAAGTTATGTTTAAAAAACATTAAGTACCTATTATCAAAAGTTCTTGTCTAAAATTACCTTTCACATTTTTCTTGTTTTTCTTCTCTGCTGACTTTGGTGGTTTCTGATCAATGTAATACATGGCTTTACACATCTCAGCAGTTTTTGTTCTAACTTCAGCTGACACTTTCTCCCAGTAATGTGTGTTATTTGGAGGCACATTCTTACATGCACTGAAATATAAAACAATTTTAAATATCTTTTTGTTAGGGGGTTTTGAATCAAACCAACACTGTAAATTGTATGGGAACTTTCCACTATTACTAGTTGAGAAAGACCCCAGGTGCCAAACTGTGCATTATTTCAGGCACAAGTGGGCACCAAAGTAGAACCACAAGCCTTTTATAAACTAGCTGGATAGCTTCCTCATGTGACACAATCATGGAAGATTTGAACCTAAAGAAGTGAGAAGCAACTAAAGGTCTGCAACTATAGTATAACCACTCTGCATCAGAGATTACTCTTCACATGTCAATATAAAACAAATATAATCAAAATTTCCATCACATTATTTAAAAGTAAAATAAAGAGAATCTAGATTAAATAGAGACTCAAAATTAACATTTGTTGATTTATTTTTACATGCCTGTCAATTTCTGAAAAAAGGAAAAAACAAAACCTTGTAACTTACTATTGAAAAGGGAACTTACTCTTTTAATCTATCTTTTTCTTCTTTAGTCCAGTGGTCAGTGTTATCATCCGAGCATTCTGGTGCTTTATGAACATTCTCTGACTTTTTCTTACTTTCTATCACACTTAATTTACTAAATGCACGTTTTTGTATCCCATTTTTCTTCTTCCCAGATTTACTTACTGGTTCAAGACTGGGATCATCAGTATCTTGCTGATCATCTTCTTCTATTACTGGGAGAGTTTTACCTCTCTTTCTAAAACATGTTCCCTTATTATTTATATCACGCTTACTAACTACACTTTTCCTTTTTGATTCTTTATCTGATTCAAAGTCACTGTCCTTCAATTCATCAGTGATTGCTTTCTCTTTAGTAGCAAGAACTCCCCCTTTTTTGCTTTCTTTCAATCCAACTCCAACATCCATTTTTGGCACCTTTACATTTCTAGATCTCAGTTTTCTACAGCCTATATCCCCAGGACTGTTTCTTTCCCGAGTCCTAATATCCCCAGTACTAGATGACACAACATTAACTTGATCAACCGTTCTTCTATTTTCTTTTACTAGATTGGGTCCATTATCATTTTTTCTTTTTGATCTTTTAGCTTTAATAGGGTCTGACACTTCTTGGTCAGTTAAAGTGGTTTCAAGGTCTGTAGTTTCAGATATATCAAATGGATTGTCTGTATCTGTTGTTGCCTCATCATCAATCAATTTATTACTGTAGCAAGTATTAAGTTTTGTTACCTTTTTTCTTCTTGACCTATGATTTTCCAGGATAACTTTTACCTCTAGTTTCAAGTTTTGATTAATATCTTCATCTGATTGGCTAGAATTGTTTGCAGCTTTAGAAGATGCAGGTTCTACCAGTTCTTTTCTTTTTGAGTAATGTTTTTTCTTTGTTTCAACTGAGGAGACACTAGAGTTCAATGAAGATTTGCTGGCATTCAATGAATAATCTTTGTCTTTTTGCCTTGGATTCCAATATGGTTTTACCTTATGTGTTGATTTCTAGGGATGGAAAGAGAAAAAGAAATAAAAGAAAACTAGCAAATATAAGATACTTTTAACATATATTATAAGAAAATGAACATCAAATTACCTGCTTCATTTCAACAATCAGAAGAGCAATTTATTGTAAAATATTTATGATCAACAAGTGCTAACTTTATTGTAAAATATTTATTATTAACAAGTGCTAATTTCATTGCAAACTAGAAGGGGCTATGTCTCAAAAGCATATGACTCCCAAAGCAAGGTATGGCACTGATCACTCCTGTGAATTTTGGTCAAAATCCCACCAACTGTTTGATCTTTGAAAGCGGGACAAGATTTTTCTATTGATAGCTTTGACGGCCATTTTGTGCAGCAAAGAGGAACGTGCCAGCCATATGAACGAGGGATGGTACAGATCACTTCTGTGTAGTTTCATTAAAATCCCACCAGCAGTTTGACCTGTGAAAGCCGGACAAGATTTTTTTATTTATAGCTCAGGCTGCAATTTTGTGCAGCCAAGCGCAACATGTGGGTGATACTAACAACTATGGATGGTACTTATCACTCTTGTAAAGTTTCATTGAAATCCTGCCAGCAGTTTGACCTGTGAAAGCCGTACAAGATTTTTTCTTTTTATACTCTGGCAGCCATTTTGTGCAGCGAAGCGAAACATGCCGGTGATATGCACATAGGTCAATCCACAAATTTAAGATTAAGTAAGTATTGAGCTTTGTTTAAATGCAATAATCATTTTTACCTTATAACCATCCTCAAACTGCTGTAAGAATAAGCTGGAAGCAATAGTTGGTGCCTTTACAGTGATATTTTCCCCATCCAGCTCTAGTGTTTGACCTGTCCACCACTGTAATCTAGGCTTTATTAACCTACCACTCCTTGAACGTCCTAAACTCTCCAAATCTACACTCTCTCCAGACGGTGTCAGAACTAAAATAAATCAAAAACAAAAAGATTAATTGGAATAGTTTTAATAGTTTATATTTATGATTTACAATTCAACACACCAATATGTGGTCTGTACATTAAGAGTTGACAAAGTTGCATTAACAAGACCTGTCAGAGGAGACAGCATACTTGACTAATTAATTATGACCTACAGGAAAGAAGGGTAAACTATGATAAAACTAGGACATGCCTCACTACATTCCACTGCTTTATCAGTCTACTTATGAATAATGTGGCAGTATGACAGCAGACAGATGGACAAGGGCAAATCTATATCCCCCATTTAGTGTTGGCATAAATATTAATCATAATTATAAATATATTTCTGTAAAAGTATCAAGAAAGCACTCAAATGACAAACATTTTTGCAACAGATATAATGAATTTCAATATGTCAATGAAAGTGAGTAACATAACAAACAAGAACGTGTTTGTTAAACACAAATGACCCCGGCTCAGATTCTTGTCAGTAACAATATTTAAAATAAAGGCTGTATGGGCAAAAGTGTAAAAAATCTATTTTTAGCACTGGTGACCTTGACCCAACTGACCTCAACTCCATCCAAAGGAAGAATATCATGCAACTTATTTTCCTACCAAATATGAAATAAATCTGTCAATATATAAAGGCTGTATGGGCAAAAGTGTAAAAATCTATTTTTAGCACTGTTGACCTTGACCCAACTGACTCCTAACTACATCCAAATGAAGAATACCATGTAAGTTATCTTCCTACCAATTATAATACAAATCTGTCAATAAATAAAGGCTGTATGAGCAAAAGTGTAAAAATCTATTTTTAGCACTGGTGACCTTGACCCAACTGACCTCACCTCCATTCAAATGAGAATACCTTAATTTTATGTTCCTACAAAATATACAAGATACAAGACATCTGTCGATAGAATAAGGTTAATACACCTGTAAAAGTGTAAAAAATCTATTTTTGACATTGGTGACCTTGACCCAAATGACCCCTTACTAAGGAAAAGGAAGAGGACCTCCCTTGGTATGACTATTATAAACATGAAAGACATTAACTTAAAAATAAAGGAATAGGTTAACTATACAAGGCCCTATTTTCAAAGTGATAAAAAGGGAAATTACTGGGAAAATGGATGGCACATTTATATTACTTGGTAATATCATGTACATTATATTGATAAGTAAGTGTGAAAATTATTAAGCCATTAGTTCAGATAGAACATAAGATATTTCCAACTTGCCGGTTTAGGTTAACCATTATTCATTTTCTAAGTGCTGAAAAGGGCCATAACTTGGTGCAAATGGAAGCCATAGTTATGTAACTTGCCCAGAACATATACATTGTATGGATTAGTAAGTGTGTAAATTATGAAGCCATTGGCACAGGTAGAACTTAAGAAAAATCCAACTTGCCATTCTAGGTTAACCTCGTACTGACAGACGGACGTTCCAACATTTTGGGTTTAGGGGCTATTTTCTTTGTTATTTTCTTTGTTTTCTTAAGGGCTACTAGCCCATAAACCCTTTGATCACGGAATGAACCTATTGTTCTCTTTTGTTTTCTTTACTGATATATAGCCCCTAAACCCAAAATGTTTGCTCGGACAGACAGACGGTTCAATTACTATATGCCCGGTGCATAAAAATGTGTAATATATGTTAATTGCATCAATGAAAGCAACAACATGGTGAACTATGTGGTCATAATGGTGGAATAGCAAGAATGATCTTAATTCAGTATAAATGAAGTACAAAACTATTCTGTTCTTTTCAAAATAATTCTTTACAGCATTTTTGGGCAAACCTTTAAATTATATTTATTTTTCCTCCCTTTATCTTTAGTACTTTATCAACACATTACCATCTTTTGTCATTATATTCTATATTATAAATTAACACAAGTAATTTATGTATGAATACACTTACTAGTCTTTGTTCTTTTATATGGTTCTGCTGGTATAGAAACACCCTTCTCTCTGTTAGATACTGGAGTATTATCAAGACTGACACTAGACTTTCTCCCTTGGGTATCATCTTTAACTTGACTTTTCTTCTCCGAGGATAATACAGGCTTCTTGTCATTGCTCTTAGTCTGAGTAGATTGTTTTTGCTTAAAGTCCTTCTTGCCACCAATTTGTCCTTTCTTTTTTGATGTATGTGTTGTTTTGTGTTTTGAAATTGTAGATTTCTTCTTACTGCGTTTTTTGGTACATAAGTGCTCCTGAACCAATTCTTGCCACTCTTTTGGAAACCCAGACTTAAACTTTTCAATGATCTCAACAGGCAAACCTTGAAGAAAAAATATGAATTAAAAAAAATGTGTATATTCACAATTAACAGTATCAATTGGAGAAGCTTAATAAAGTAAAATATGTACTGATTTAGTGTGTAGGTTTAAGAATTTTTTTTATCATACAATTAAGGATATAAACTAAAGGAAAACATTTCTTCTTTCAGTTGTTGTGATTATTCAATTTCATTATTTAAGACAGACACAGCACAAATAGATTCTGTGTTTTTTGTACAATTATAACCTGTTTAATGCAAACTAGTGTCAAGAAAAACAATAACAATAGATCCTAAATAATTGTTATAAAAGAGCCTGGATTATGTAGGAATGAACAAAGAGGAAGTTTTCATTGGAGATAGTAATGAGTCTTAAATATTGACAAAAGGAATTTTTAACTTTACTATATTTCATTTAAAATCCTTGCACATTTATTGGTTTAGAATGTGATCTTCAATTATAATTGCAAGACATGAATTTAGTTTCAAGTGAATACAATCAGTAGTTTTAAAGACTACTGTTGCACACAAGGCTAAAACCAAGAATTTCCTAAATTCAAAAAGGGCCATAATTACGTTTAAATCCAAGCTAGAGTGATGGGTCTAGTATATTGACCTCCTGCTTTGCTCTCAAAAACATGTGTGATGTAACACACTAATATCTTAAGTGGTTGTTGACACTTAATGAAGTACAAGAAGTTGCAAATAAAAGTTTAACTCAAGTAATACGCCACCCCCCTGGTGAGAAGGATAGCCCCACTATTAGTTGTGCTACCAAAACAATAACTATACCATAAGCAAAATATGACAGTACAAAAATTTAAGTGCATATTATGTGATATTTACCCTCATTTAGGCTTAACAATTTATCCATGTTACCCTTCAACCTGTAGATTGAGCCGCTATTTGACATTAACCTCTTCTTGTCCAACCTTTTCTCTATAGCTGAACTGTGCCACAAATTCCCGCTATCACTAAAAATATTAAACAAAATGCATGTATGTATTTTTATTTAAAACAAACTTTTGTGTGTTTATAAGCTTTTCATTAACAAATTATTTACATTACTCTTCACTTACTTGATTTCTTTGATCGAAAATCAAATAACCTTTTAAACTAAAATTATTAACAAGAATGTCGAACGACACATATACCCCCCTTTCTAGCCATTGACTCACATAATTGGTAATTTTATTAAAGAAACTTGCCAAAAATGGGTACATGGAAGTGTTCAATTATGGAAAAATCAAAGGAAACCATTTTGACATTTAAGGCCCGTGTGACATTGACCTTTGACCTAATGACCCCTAAATCAATAGAGGTCATCTAATACTTATGACCAATAACTAGGTGAAATAAGAAGACTTTGTGATGAATACTTTTCAAGATAATCAGCAGAAACCCTTTTGACATTTAAGGCCCCTGTGACCTTGACCTTTGATATAGTGACCCCAAAATCAATAGGGGTCATCTACTAGTGATGACCAATCACTATGTGAAATATGAAGACTTTGTGATGAATACTTTTCAAGATAATCAGCGGAAACCATTTTCACATTTTAAGGTTCCTGTGACCTTGACCTTTGACCTAGTGACCCCAAAATCAATAGGGGTCATCTACTAGTGATGACCAATCACTATGTGAAATATGAAAACTTTGTGATACATACTTTTCAAGATAATCAGCGGAAACCATTTTGACATTTAAGGTCCCTGTGACCTTGACCTTTGACATAGTGACCCCAAAATCAATAGGAGTCATCTACTAGTTATGACCAATCACTATGTGAAATAAGAAGACTTTGTGATGAATACTTTTCAAGATAATCAGCAGAAACCCTTTTGACATTTAAGGCCCCTGTGACCTTGACCTTTGATATAGTGACCCCAAAATCAATAGGGGTCATCTACTAGTGATGACCAATCACTATGTGAAATATGAAGACTTTGTGATGAATACTTTTCAAGATAATCAGCGGAAACCATTTTCACATTTTAAGGTCCCTGTGACCTTGACCTTTGACCTAGTGACCCCAAAATCAATAGGGGTCATCTACTAGTGATGACCAATCACTATGTGAAATATGAAAACTTTGTGATACATACTTTTCAAGATAATCAGCGGAAACCATTTTGACATTTAAGGTCCCTGTGACCTTGACCTTTGACCTAGTGACCCCAAAATCAATAGGGGTCATCTACTAGTGATGACCAATTACTGTGTGAAATATGAAGACTTTGTGATACATACTTTTTAAGATAATCAGCGGAAACCATTTTGACATTTAAGGTCCCTGTGACCTTGACCTTTGACCTAGTGACCCCAAAATCAATAGGGGTCATCTACTAGTTATGACCAATCACTATGTAAAATATGAAGACTTTGTGATAAATACTTTTCAAGATAATCAGCGGAAACCATGTGGTCTACCGACGGACAGACGGACCGACAGACAGACAGACAGAGCGACATTAGCAAAACAATATACCCCCTCTTCTTCGAAGGGGGGCATAAAAACATGCAGCTTAGAAGTTTTTGGAAAAAAAGTCTAATAAACAATTTCTATGTTTTGTGTTATGTTAATTACATAATAAATATTTTAAAATGGAATATTTGTTAGTACATCTTTCATGACTTTATAGTAATTGCATTGATTGCTTTCCAACTAAATAACAATATATTAGTACTATTAACAGAATTTTGATGACACTTTAAGATAAAACGGAAACTTAAAACTTTGAGAACACTTACGCTTTCACTCCAACCAAATGAACTCCTTTCCCATTTGGTAATGACCTTATTATCCAGTTCTCTATCACCTTTTCAACCTTTGACCCTTTCTTTGACCTTGACTTTTTGTTATCTAAGGGACTATGAGGTAAATCTATATCTGATGATTCATCTGTATGTAAAGGTGGTGCTGATTCTTCTCCTGTAAACAAAATGAGCCGCATCATGACAAAACTAACATAGTGCGTTTGCGACCAGCATGGATCCAGACCAGCCTGCGCGAATGCACAGGCTGGTCTGGATCCATGCTGGTCGCAAACGCACTATGTTGGTTTTGTCGTGACGCGGCTCAAATGTATTCCTGATAACAATTTAATTATGATATTTAATGTGAAGGCAAAACTGTACAACAGAGATTGTCAGACAGATGTGTAGAATATATTAACCAACTGCTTAAACAGCATATACCTGACTGTCCAATATAAAACAAATCATGGGGTAATGAAAATGAGTAAACTAAATATAATGATTTTAAACTACTGCTGTTATCTTTTCACACAATAAAAGGCAGTCATTTGTATGATACAACTTCAGTATCAACATACAGCGCTAACTAATACATGTATTTAGCATACCTAAATTATACCTTACGTTGAATTATATCTTAATCTTCAAGCTGTTTTTTTTATAAAGAACTTGTCCTTCTTTGAATTTTGAACTGTCCACAAGCACTTAAAGGATTTGAACATCAAAGTATTTAAAGTCAGTAAACAACATAAAATATATAATAATGTTGTGCTAGATAAGATGTGCAGGCTGGCAATGCTATACACTGTTGGCTAGACACTCAAAGGGACGCAAAATTAAAACTCCATACCTTCATCAGTAGATGGAATTTCTCTTACAGTAATTTCCTCTTGTCCTTGGTCATCAGAACATTCCTCCTCCTCTAATATTGTTATTTCTACAGATATAAATCAAAACTTTTAACAAAAAAAAAAACAAAAACAAAAAAGATATACAATCATACATATATTCTGAAAATTACACAGACACCATCTGGCCATCTGGTAAGTCATCACTTAAACATTAAATTAATTCAGTCATTCAAATTTAGTGTGTACGAACAGTCTACTCCATTTTGTAACAAGATTAACAAGGTCCCTGCCATTTACCTTCTATTTTCTTTTTGTTTTATATGGATTATAGAGAATTCATGACAATTCAAAGATAAGAAACACTATCTAAAGTTACCTTCTATTTTCTTTTTGTTTTATATGGATTATAGAGAATTCATGACAATTCAAAGATAAGAAACACTATCTAAATTCTCCAATAACATTATTATAAGAAATAACAATTATAAAATCAATGAACAGTTGAAGCATTTACCTTCCTCAGAATCTGACTCTGTTTCTACTGTGCTGAAATAACAACAATGCCAAAGATAAAATATTATTCTATGGTGGTTCCAACATGAATATAATCAAATATCAATATTCATTCTAATGCCATGAATAAAACAGCAAAAAAAATATGTATTAAAATCTGTTACTTATAAATGATTATGTTTAAACAAAAATTTAGTTAAGATTTTGTAAAATGTTTCATTAATTCATTCAATAAACCTGTTAATTGGTGCTGTTCTAAAATGTTCATAAATCAACTGCTGCCAGTCACTAGGGAAACCAAGCCAAAACGCTTCTGCTGTCTTCCGTGAAAATCCTGAAATAATATCAGCATATTTAACAAATACAGAAAATTTGAAATTAAATCTTCCTTTAAAATCAAGCATTTGTGATCACTTAAAGAAGTTACAATATGTGGTGTTTTCATAAAATTTGGTTTATACCTCATTGAAAAGTGACAAAACTAAAAAAAAAATCACTACAATGATGAAAAAAAAAACCTTCCCTTTTCATTTATGTCTGTTATTTTACTAACTTCTCATTCATAATGGGAGATACAGACGATATTTCTCTAACTTGCTAGCTTCACATATAAATATATTACTTTCTTTTACACTTACCAGCAGCCATAGCATCAAGCAGTTCCATATTGCCCTCAAGTCTGTACACAGACTTTGTTTGAGTCTCCACAACTTTTTCATTGACTCTACGTGTTATCACTCCACTATGCCAAAAGTTTTCATCTCTTAAACTGAAATTCAATTATTAAATTTGAATTTTATCTCAAAAAATCATGCTACAATAATACAATTACATAAAATATGCCCACATTAATGTCAATTAAAATATACTTGAAATCACAAAGTAAAACAAAAGGGGAAAGAACTATTCATCTATATAGAACTAAAGGTGCTTGATATTCAGTTAAATAATAATGTTCTTAAGCTAAATCAAATCTCCATTTGTACTTTATAATGTATCATTTGTGTACTAAAAATTATAACAATTCCTTCTTTAAGAGTAGTCATCTGTAATTAAACAATCTTGTTTTTTTTTATAACAAAAGTTGACGGTACGACAGCATACTTGACTATTCTCAGTGCTTGATAGTTAAAAAAGAGTATGAAGACAATACACAAAAAAGTTATGATCAAGGTACAAGTTTGCAGACAGCAATGGCAACATTACAATCCACTGCCTTATCTCATTCGGAGAGCATTCTTCTATTTTCACCCTTCCTTCTGTTATAATGATAAGTGAACATATCACTTACTTTTTCTTGCCCTCAACACAGATATCATGTGAGCCGGGTACTGGTTTTATAATCCACATATACAATGAACATACTTTAGTTGACTCCGGAGACATGTTGTCATCTGTAAAGATTTATAGATAAATTCACATACTTTGTGTCAAACGAGATCCCATTTGTTCATGCAAGCTATACTCCTGCTTCAGTATGGCACTTATTTAAGGCCACAATCTCCACATTAAAAGATATCCCACAACTTTTGATTATAAATTTCCCTTTTTCTTGAATGTAAAAATAATTATGAATTGATGAAATACATTGTAATACTTAAAATAAACAATTTGTCACAATTGTCTTTTTATACCTATACATTAAACAAACAAAGCCAATCACTATATTCTTCAATATAATTCTGTGTCTAATTATGTTAATCTTACCATCTTGCAAAACAATGATTATAATTAACATCAGAATATATATCAACAGTATAATTAACATAAGAATATATATCTACAGAAGAACAAATGAAATATCAATAATATGATATTATATATTCAAACCTTCATCTGGTCTATCAGTATAGAAAGCTTCCTGAAAAGTCTCCTCATAAAAGTTATCTTTATTGTTGCCTACTGCACTTCCACTTATCTCCTTTTGTGTTTGATGTCTTGGTCCTTTATCGTGACCACTATCACAGACTACACCATGTGGTTGCCAATCTATCATATCTGTTTGTTGATTACCATGTCTTCTATTTCCAGCTGGCCAACTATTATCACAACTCTGATTAAAGTTTCTCTCCTCATGTTGTTGTCTATTTCTCTGTTGGTAGACCTGCCTGCTAGTCATAGAGTGTCTGTTGTTTAAAGAGTTTCCAACTACAGGATTGTTCTCCTTACTGGTGTTTTCATTCCACTGACTTGACTCCAATGACTTGTCATCATCGTCCATCGATTGATTCTTCAAGCTTATGAAGATGTCAGCTACCGATGTGTTAGCTATATTGGAATGGAATGAAGAGCTTATATTCTGTGGAGATAAAAATGGATCAAACCTTGCACCTTGGGATGCTGCATAGCCATGCTTTATTGGAATTGCTGAGGCTGACACTGTATGACCGTGGCCCAAAAATGGTACATTAAAGTTGTTGTTACCACTGTTTAGATGATTTCCATACAGAATCTGAGAAAAACAAGAAAATAACTACTAGTTTTTTTTTCTACATATCCATACATGTTTATAGAAATTTCTTTAAATAAACAATAAATAAGAAGAAATCATGTTTGAATGAACATCATGCCACAAAGGGGGATGGGGACCTTAGACCTTGGGAGTAAAGGTCATTTTAAGGTCATGATCACTTAAGAACAGTCAGAACAGTCATAAAAGTAATACATTGTATTGACTGATCAGATAAAGCTATATGTGCTCTAGTGATGAGAAGTTAAATGTTTGGAGGTTGTTGCCAAGGTAAATGTTTTCTATTTTGGGTTATGGTGACCCTCACCTTTGACTCTGTAACCTCAAAGTAGAACTCATCAGGGTGAATACACATAAAAAGTTTTAAGGCCAAGGTTAATATTTTCTTTATGGTGACCTTGACTTTTGACCCTGACTTTCTAAGTAGGTCTGGCAGAAAGAATGCATCAAAGTGTATATACACATGATGATGTGAAGTTGGAAAACTTTAAATGAAAGTACTAAGATTAATACAACAACTGCTATTTTGGGTCATGCTGACTTTTGAACCCATGACCTCTTATTTTATTTGTAATCACAATGACATTTCCACAGTGATTATTTTTGTCCATCAAGACTAACGTAAAATAAATTTACCACTCTTACTGACTAACTTCTTATTGTACATTTATAATTAGAAGTAAATACAAAAAAAAAAAAATGAAATGAAATTAAGAAACAGCTTATTGTTTCTTATAAAAAAGTTTGATGTTATTTTTCCCTACCTGAGGCACTGGACTTTCACGAATCAACTGATCTATGTTTGAATCTATAACCTGCTGATTAAACAGTCTCGAATTTCTGTCTTGTAAATTCATCTGAAATAAAAAATTAAAATTAAGTTGTTTTTATCACACAAAGGGTTACTCTTACAGTATTCAAGCTCCTTTTTATGCCCCCACAAAGTGGGGAGCATATAGCGTTGCACTTGTCCGTCTGTCCGTACGTCTGTCCAAGCAAACATTTTGGGTTAAGGAGCTATATAACAGTAAAGAGAACAATAGGTTCATTCCATGATCAAAGGGTTTATGGGCTAGTAGCCCTTAAGAAAACAAAGAAAATAACAAAGAAAATAGCCCCTAAACCCAAAATGTTGGAACATCTGTCTGTACGTCCCGAAATCTTATGAACGCAACTCCTCTTAAACCGGATGGCAGATTTTGCTTAAACTTCCAGGGATGAACAACCTTAATGTGTAGATGGTAGGAAAGGTAGGAATTTTCGCTGTGACCAAATTTAACAGAATTATGGCACTTTGTTGATTTTTTCACTATATACCATATAGAAATTTTGTGAACTCAACTCCTCTTAAACTGATGGCAGATTTTGCTTAAACTTCCAGGGATGAACAACCTTAATAAGAAGATGGTAGTTAAAGGAAGGAATTTTCGCTGCGACCAAATTAAACAGAATTATGGCCCTTTGTTGATTTTTTCACTATATACCATATAGAAATTTTGTAAACGCAACTCTTAAACCGGATGGCAGATTTTGCTTAAACTTCCAGGGATGAACAACCTTAATGTGTAGATGGTAGTAAAGGAAGGAATTTTCGCTGCGACCAAATTTAACAGAATTATGGCCCTTTGTTGAATTTTTCACTATATACCATATATATGTTGTCGGTGGGGGCATCCGTGTCCTTTGGACACAGTTCTAGTTTTAAATAACATTACAATTCTATAAAGTGACTGTGTCTTGAAAATATTTCTCCTGTTGAAGGAAAGGTAATGACAATGTATTTCAATAAAAATAATTTTGTGTGTGTAAATTTTCAATTGACCCTGCACTTGTTGTGGTTGAACATTTTTAAGAATTTCATCATTCTAGTATTTTTGCAACACATACTTTTTTTAAGTACTATACCACTAATGGGCACTTTAAGGAAATGAAAAATTTGCAATATTGTGTTGCAATTCTCAAAGGACACCCAGTGATTTTTATTCAATTTCCAAACAACCTGTGGCTTATTGAAGGGGAAAATATAGCATAGCAGAGGCTATCTATAGGGACAGCTTTCTGTCTTCTTGATGATACAAGTCAGCCGGTGTTGTCATGGTTATGGTGAAGAGTGTGCACAGGGCATTTTAGGGGAAAATATACCTATTTTTGGCTAGGGGAAACAGCCTTAATTCGGCTGTAAAATACAGGGGAAAATATCACTGCCATCTCTGTGCAAAATTTAAGCAAAATTTACCACATGGTTTGGGACCTATAGACATTTTCAAAATTAACTAAATCATGAAAGGAAACTCTAAATAAGCTGTAACACAGTATAATTCTTATGAAAAATGATGTCCTACTAATTTAGCAATTATTGTTAAGAAACAAGTAAATCACATTCATCTAACAAAGTTTAAACACACCACACAAGCTAGTTTCTATTTAAATGACTGAAATGTGTATAAAAATATTGCCTGACCCCATCCATTTAAACCCTTTCTCCCATGAGCATATTGTGAAAAATGGCCATTTTCACTGAAAAGCCTCCTCTTACAAGTTCAAACTGCTATGAAACTATGAAAAATGCTTCAATACTAATCAAACTTGGCACAAATGTTGACTTGACCATTACCTTTGTAACGACATACTCAGTCTTAAATTTCCTGTTACCATGGCAACGAGGGGACATCTGAAAATTGCCAAAAATCGCTATATGCCTCGATTTTTTCCATCAAAATTTATTTCAAAGTGCTGCAACTTCTCAAGGGATTGAGATAGAGTCAAAGGCTTTTCAGCGTTGGTTACACGTTACCTTATGATCGACCTGGGGTCATTTTAAGCCTCTCACAAGTCCAAAATTTTCTTGGCAATGAGGGGCACATCCCCCTTCTGGCAACCCCCTGATGTATCTTTTGGATGGGGGGCGGCGCCGAAAAAGTGCTCACTTTTTTTAGCAACATTTCTCAAACGAAAACATGTGTTTGGGGCCCAAATAGGACATTTTTTCACTATTTCAGGCCTAAAAAAAGGGGGGGGGGTCGAAAGTGCGTTGTTTCGCGTATATATGAGGTAAAGGGTTAAACACTAGTCTTGTTTGACCATTTTCCATTTCAAATATTTTTAAGATCTAATTTAAAATACTTTCATCATGTATTAGATTTTTGAAAAAAAACAGCTACCAACTTGTTATCAACTATAGTATTACTAGTATTACTAGTATTTAGCACAATAAAAAATACCTATAATAATTATATTATTCAAGCCGAACACTTTTTTCTTCTTAAAAGAATAAACTTGCAACCCCATGATGTATCATCTTAATGGGGGGGGCCTCAAAAAGGGAGGGGGTCGAAAAGACGTCAAAACACGTCTATAATGAGGTTAAGGGTTAAGGGCACAACATGTCTGGGTTTTTCTGATGAGACTAAGCAAGGTCCCGTGTAGAAGTGCTTAAACACTTTGCTTGCTAAAGAACCATGACAAGCATCTGGAATTGGGGCATGTTTCTGTATCTTGCATTGTGCATTGTTCTACAAAATATAAAATGACTAACACCCTTTATTTAATGAGGCTAACACATTCGGTTTCCTGTTTTGAGGTCTTATAAACGAAGTTAAATCATTAAGCACAGAACACCTTCTCACACCCTGGTGTGTGCATGTCCCTGAGAAAGGCAAATGGCAGATGATTGAAGAGCCACTGCAACATCATACATGTAAGACGACAAGTTTGTATGTTTTCTACAACTCTGGGTTACTTGTAAGGCAGGCTGTTTTACCAGCAGAACTAAGTGTGCATGAAGATAGCTGCAGATGTCCTGAATAGGGCCTATGGGGAGTGGCCCTACGAAGTAGGCTGGGACACCAAAGAAAGTTGCATGAGTCCCTAGCACTTAAACAGCGGGCCCCTTGCTTGGCATCAACAGACCTTTTATGGGCTACCTCCTTTGCTTACTGTATCTTGTACTACATACAGATAAATCATAGAGGCATCCCCCATGTCCCACGAATCCGAGTCAACTTGACACTAAAACTAACTTGGCCTCCCGAGTCATCTTGGTCATATACCAACTCGGCATGGGTCAACTCAGCCCATAATTATACATTACTTATTATTTTTTATATTCAGTATTCTTGAGAGGTTAAGGTTGGATAATATTTATAAATTATTTGTTACAGTATGTTTAAGCCCAATACACAGGGATATGTTAAATCATCTGCATTAAGTTTACACTGAGGCGTTCAACTGATGAAAATTGAAATAATTAAAATGAAAATATTTATTTAAGGCAGCAGAAGTTGCCCCCCCCCCTTAATTTTTAAACGAAAACAAATTATTATAGAACTGTCGTGATTGATTATAAAGTAATTGACAATACAAACAATCGACCTATCCTTCACGTCTAGATCATAGCCAAGCTAGGAATTGCCTCATTTTTCTTGATTATTTTTCACTACAATAAAATGGCGCCCAACTGTCAGACATAGCACACTAGTTTTTTAGTTTAATTTTCGTCAAATCACGTAACCAGTACCATATGGTACTAAATAATTATGATTAGCCTACAGTTACCTCCCTTCAGTTTCCGGTGTAAATGTAAACAAAACAACCAAATATAATGCGAGATGGAAGTTTTACGATTTTATAAACTTTTTTTATAGATGGGCGATTTTCACGCACATGATTTTGAATTGTGCGCGATCTGTGAAACACTAGCGTGAATCGCGCAATCGCGTGTCATAGAATAGATACTGCATGACCTTCATTTGAAGCGCCTTGTGTGAGATCGGCTACAGGTTTTGCAACATGGAAAAAAAACTAGAAAATTGATGATGGGGGGGGGGGGGGGGGGGCCTGCATAACTTAATGTTTTTTTCCTCTGGATTTTTTCGATTATTTCCACAGTTATTTTGGTTTTTATCTGCTTTTGTTATCAAGTTTTCAGATATTGATGAAAGTCGCGAGCGTCGCTTCCATCCCTTTCACTTATTCAATGATAATACAAGAAACCCCCAGTGTTCCCATTTACGCACATATGTGCGTATTTTACGCACAAAAAACAAAATTCACGTACAGAAATTTAGGCAAGAGGGTAAAAATATGCACAGAAAGTCGGAAACTTAATCATGTAAAGTGTATCATTTAACAAGAGCTGTCTGTAGGACAGCATGCTCGACTATTCTAAGTGCTTGATAGTAAAAGAGCCTTGATATTGTTAAATTTTTTAAGTTCACAAAAGGGCTAATTTTTTTTTATAAATTCATGTTATAGGCCTTAGAGAGAGTCTAATTATACAGAATTGGCTTGACTATTCGGAAGGTAATGTCACAAGGGTTTTTTATTGAGTATAATAATACTAATTACCTATGAATAGATAAATTTGACAGAAAAGGTACAAAGGTTTGTTATTAAGATGTTTTATCAAGTAAATCACTGCTTTATTATTATGAATGCATAAAATTGTCCCAAAAAAGGCACAAACCCTTCAGTAGTTATTGAGATAACAGCTTACAAGCAAAACTTTACCATGAATTTCTAAGTTGAAAAAGGGGAGAAAAATCAGCCTAAATGCAAGATAGAATTATGGATCTTTGTCAGTGACCTACAATTCAGACCCTTAATGCATATGTGAAGTTTTAAATAAATATCTTTAATAGTTATTGAGATATGTAAAACTTGCATGTAAACATTAACCAAGAAACTAAGTAGAAAAGGGGATATGAATCAGCCTTAATGCAAGATAGCGTTATGGAACTTGGTCAGTGACATACAATTATGACCCTCCAATTATGACCCTAAGTGCATGTGTAAAGTTTCAAGTAAATATCTTTGAAGACCGTTAACCTTTAACCAAAATTTCTAAGTTTCAAATGGGCAAATAATTCTGCAAATATTGCAGACAGAGTTATGCAATTTTGCAAACTGATGTACATTGTTACTATAAATAAGTATTTTAAATTTCAATTGAATATCTCAAGCAATTATTGAGATATTTGACTTTACAAAAAACTTTAACCAAAATTTCTAAGTTAAAAAGGGGCATAATTCTGTCAATATTGTAGGCAGAGTTATCCAACTTGTCAATCTGATGTACCTTGTTACTATAAATAAGTATTGTAAGTTTCAATTGAATATCTCAAGTAATAATTGAGATATTTGACTTTACAAAAAACTTTAACCAACGCAGACGCCGACGCGGACGCCGACGCGACTACAATAGCTCTCATATTCTTCGAATAGTCGAGCTAAAAATTATTCTTTTAAACAATTTTTCAAACATAAATCACTTAAAGTGCATTGAAATTGATGAAATGTGAGAAAATCTTCGAATTCACTATGAAGTTTACAGACCCCCAACTGCGAATTATTGCCGTAAATTACAAATTTGAAATTTTTGTTTTACGATGCCTGTAAGAATAGCCGATAAAAAACAGTCTTAAAATATTAAAGAAATATTAATTCTAATATAATTGTAATCAAAATTAACTGGAATTGTAAATGTTTCAGCAGAAAACTGACGAATTTTCATTTGTCACATATTTTCGCGATGCCGATTTTGTTAATTAAAAACATATACAAAAGGGATGCTTTGTTTTGTTCAAAGGTGTGTAGTCACAATTTATATGCTGTTTATGAACTTAAATAACTTAAATAATGGTTATATTAATTGAGATGGAGATATATGCCAGTATGTGTTGGCCACAATGAATTTTACCTAAGGGGGGCGGGGGGGGGGGGGGGGGGAGGAGGAGTGATGGATCTTGACGAAAACAGCATATTGTCTGATGTATGATTTTGGAATTATCCTTAAATTGCATATAAATATTGTACAAACTTATGTACCCCCTGAATTTTTATTTTACCCCCAGTTTTCAAAGGTAAGGGGTAAAAATACCCCCAATGAAAAATAGAAGTGGGAAAACTGACCCCGAGAATACGTGAAATAGGGATATATTTTCATATCTTTCATTGCTTAATCTTACTTGATTAATGCTATGTTATGTTATTTTTTGTTCTGTATTAAATCAAGTGTGAAAATCAAATAGTTAATAGTTATACCGGACCAATGGCTAGTGACTGTCATCCAATTAGACAGTCAATTAATGAATTGTCATCCAATTTGACAGTCAATTAATGAATTATCATGTTTTATCTATGATAAACACAGATGTTAATTGTAGATGACAGGAGGTGATATTCAACTTAATGGGATTAAAAAGTTAATATACACTATGACGTTACCTGTCGTAAATTTACATTCTGTTCAAACTTAATAATAAATTTCAAACAATACGATAAGCTGCAGACTTTTTCAATTTTTAATAACTATACAAGTTATAAGTACGATCACTATTAAATAGTTGGTATATGGCCGAGTTGACACTTTGCCATGTTAGGAGTCCAAATCACAGGTGCTAGTGGCATTGATTTGACCTAAAATGTGTTTGACCTTGTTATTTATCATCCGAAAGATGAGACCGTCATGACATGTACATTGTAACCTGGTATTTACGCTTGAAATACATCAACAAAGAGATCAAACGGGTCGAACACACATGCAAACAACTGGATTTTACATACTTTTAAATGGTTTTATCCTCCGCAATCGAACTTAGTCCTATAAGCCTGTATTTAAAGAAATATCCTACATGTAGACGACATTTTTAGAAGGTAATTCCTACCGGAAGTATTCTCCGGCTTCCGTTTCACATACATTGACAAAGAGCAGAACAGGGAACCAAGCACGTGTTGCGGGAGAACACTTCCGATTTAGGAATTACATTATACATGTAGAATTTTTCTTAAAATACTGGCACATAGGACTTAGTGCCACTCGTGGAGGATAAAACCATTTAAAAGTGTGTAAAATCCAGTTGTTTGCATGTGTGTTCGACCGGTTTGATCTCTTTGTTGATGTATTTCAAGCGTAAATACCAGGTTACAATGTACATGTCATGACGGTCTCATCTTTCGGACCTGGGTGATTTCTTACTTTCCGGCTTTAAAACATTAACTAGTGGTTAATTGGGGATCTGTAAATAGTAAATTATAGTAGAAAAATATATTGTGCATTGATTCCATACAAAAATCCGACGATATTACCGCCCGGTGAAAAATTTTAACACAGATAACCGGCGTACCCATAATTTTCGTACCTGAATGTTGCATACCTTGTCTATAATAATATAACAGTGAAAAAAAATTTTTTTTTAATATATTGATATTTTATTGTATAAATAACAAGGTCAAACACATTTTAGGTCAAATCAATGCCACTAGCACCTGTGGTCCAAATTGGTCCGATACATTTCACATATTTTATTATATTAAAAATTTTCCAGACAGTTTTTTCGTGTAAATATTTGTAATTTATTAAACCACGGTATCGCTAAACTGAAGGGAAAAATTACTTTGATTTTAGCAATTCCTCAGGATCAGATATTTTGATATTTGATTTGTTTATCCCGCCATGTTTACTTCCGGTAGTCGTCTCTAAAATCTATTCAGTACCGGATAAAAATTGCGCAGGAATGGATAAAAGATGCGATGACTGCCGTTATTCTCATTGTACAATACAAGAAAAGAAGTAAATATATATAATGCTTATATAGAAATAATCGTTTAAATGCAGAAAAAAATCAGCAAACCTTCTTGGACTACTTCAATTAACAAACTCGCGAAAAGACGTTTAGGTTGATGCGTAAATTCATTGGTACTTATTTGTAGTGTTACCAACTGAAACTTTCATTTTTGCTGAATTAATATTAAAAACCATTGGTACCACTGGTGACAATTTACTCTGAACGTATTTTATCAGACTATTTGTTTCATTGGCAATATAATATACTTTGGAAACGAAGATGAACCAATGCTATCCGATGGATTTAATCATAAATTACATCGTTGTCAAGTTTTTATTTCAATTTCTTCTTGTTATTGGTGAATTGATCCCGAATTAAATTGTTTATTTGCAATTCTGTACTTGTTTACGTGTTTTAAATGTGCAATGCGATTTCAGCCTTATAGCAACATCAACTAAAATTCATCATATTAACAGAAGAAGCTTAATAATTAAAGCGGAACATAAATTGATAAACTGTGTTGGTAAATAAGTAAAATAGTGAAAAACGGAATCCCTAAAGAAAGCCCAACACGGCAAAATGGTAAGATGTTGCAGGCTCGGTTTGATAGAGCCTGTTCATGGACAGTAATGGAACTTGCAAGTTACCGTCCACACCCCCTAGCACCGACTTAAGCAGAATTCAACATTTAAACACTAAAATGGTGAAATTTTGAATTTAGAAACTTCCGCAGATGTGTTCATACGGCGGTCATCGTGGAACCTTCAATGTGAAAAGCGGCGTATCATCCCCAAGTAAAAGAATGCGTGTGCCCTAAACGAAAAAACAATGGGCGGAACTAAATAAAATGGAATTTTGAAAGGGGGTCTGAGGTTAAGTAAGACTTGCCAACGCTACCTCTACAAATTGATCTATTAATTACAAATTGTGTTCGAAAACTTTTGTACTTTTGTAAATTATTCCTACGTATGTCTACCAATGGTTTTATTCTGAATGCACCTAATGATTTCAAGTTAATTTCACATGATGCATATTTTTGTATGGCTTTTATTTTATTGTCTTATTCATGCGCAACTTTCTGTGCTCAACGATTATCCATTATTATTTTCACCGGGTCTGTATTTTGATAAATGTGTAGTAATTATATGTATGAAAGATTTTTTGGAGGTTCTAGCATGGTTGTTTCACGCCGAAATGATCAAGTTAACATGATATGTAATAGAAAATACAGCTTCCTATACATAGCCTGTGACTTTTTTAGTCAAATTGTACATTTTCAACTTAAGATTTTTTTCAAATAATTTCTGCAATTCAAGATAAGCATAATTCATCTGTAAAAACCATACAAAATGTATTATTCATTTTCGCTAAATTATCTTGTGTCCACAAAGTATTATTACATTGCACAAAATATAATCTGTTTTGCCTTATGATAAATTTCAATAAAGGCTGGTCTCATGCATTTACCCTATATGTAATGACGAGGGAATGATTATGAGAAAGCCATTATGACCTAGAAATTGGATTAGAAGATAGGACACATGAATTTTTGAGACCGTCGTTTTCTATTTTCATTTGATAATAGATATAATGTTAATATAAAGTGATTAGATATGTATATGACACTGCATTGAAACTTTCATTTCTTTCTCGAATGTGTCTTATTCATGCACGTGTAAAATCCATAATTGTGTTTATCAAAACATTACCGACGAGGGTCTTGTTGATGCCATTTAAGTTAGGGTTTTAAATCTTTGATGAGAACTAATTGATTCTTTCATGTGAGGAATCTATCCAGCTAACTTACGGAACGTCGCTGGTTCTACTCAGGTGTCCGTTCGTGCCTGCACGGAAGGGCACCTGAGGTCTTACTCCACAAGTAAAGCTGGAACGTTCACTGTGTCGGTGTGATGTAAAAGCCAAACAAAGAACTCAGTGTCATAGTTATAGTCTTTATTTATTTAACTTAAATTTAAAGAGAAAGAAGCCAAAAGAAACTAAAACGCATACGTGATAGGTATTCCTCCTTCCTTCGTGAAGCAAACGTAGTACACGTTTAGTCAATATGTGTTTTCTAACATAGACAGTTGTCAATATGCAATCCAACTTGCTTTTGACAATATATACTATTTATACTCGGATTCCCAATATGCAGAGAAAGATAATTACCTATGTCATTTATTTTATATTTTGATTCAATTATGACGCATGTTGTCTTACCAGGATCAATGGCCATGTTATTGAGAGTGCACCATTCCTGTGTCTTTAATAAGTCTAACTTTGGTCACCTTTGTGCAATGTTGAATCATCTGCTTACATATCAGTTTCTGATTTTGTATCGACTGAAATATCATTTACATATAAAAGAAACAGTATATGACCTAAATGAAAGTATGTTCATCTTTTTTTTAACGATAATGATCTATATGTTAAAATATATATAACAATATACATTCGCCATTACTGTCGGTAAAATTAAGTAACTCCTTTGCGTATTTAAAATGAAATTTCAATTTTGCAAATATCTAACTGTGGTTATAACCATAATTGATAAAACAAAATGCTTTGTACGGGAAGTTAATCCCTGAAACTAAATAATTAATGAAAACTAATAGTGTGTTCCATACGTAACTCACTTTATTTTTAAATTGATTGTTGAAATACTTTTGATTTTTGTAGTTATAAGCTTGGAAGACAAATATTCGGTTTTACGACCTCTTATATAGGCAGCACTGAATTTCATTTCTAGTCAGTCATTCAGTTTTGATGATCCAGTTTGAAATTTGCTGAATCTTTTTTAATATATTAAGCTTTGATTAGATTTGATCGATGTTCCATATAAAAAAAACGGAGTTATATAACGGTTTTAATTATACATGTACTGGGACTTAAAATGACCCAGATGTAATTAAAGCCACACTTATATATGTTTACAATTTCTGAGCGTGCGATGTTTAAAAAATCTGCTGTGTATTTCAGAACCTTATTTACCGACCATATATATTTGCAATAGAATAGAATAGAAGTTATTTCCAATTAATGGGTTACATAAGTCATTCATGACATAAAAATCAATATCTACATAATGAGAAAATAAATATATCACATAAAATAAATGCATTAAAGTAGGCTTGATTCTGATTATTTTGAAAACAATTATCAGACCCAATAATCCTGATCTCCATTTATTCTTTAATTATATTTTATATACTAAATTGTCTTCAATCATAACTTAAATTTTAAATTTCAGCCGCTTCTTGTTATTGATACCACGGCTTTAATACATGTACATTAACATTGTAAATAAAGTCCGAACTGATGGAGTTAACCAGGATTGTGTGTTAAATTCGAAAATATGAGGGAATAGATTGCGCACGGGTTTACGGGTATTATCCTAGCTATGAACCTTGACCCGGAAATGGCCTCGTTTTGGTAACAAAATAACCAGCTGCGAAGTGTCAATTATCACTTATTAATCCCTTTAGTTATAAAGTTTTAGAGCAAAATAATACGAATCTGAAACACAGATCGTGTAAACAATGGAAGAATCTGACAGTGGACAGCAACCAAAAAGATGTCCATGTGGATTTTGGGGGTAAGCTTTGAGCGATATCTAGTAAATGATGCCCAAATTTAGTGACATGATCAATTCCTAACAAGTTGCAAGGTGCGTCGAGACACGATACACTTTGTTGTTAACGTAAAATTATGGTAGATTATATTTTAGTTGATACATGCATATATTACTAGTTTTACTTGCAAAAATCGATTTGGTCAATGTTGCGTTTAGCTACTATTTATCAGTCATAATTTTTCCATTAATAGTTTTTGATGTGATTTTTATCAGAAAATTAATGGATCTTTTGGTGGGCAATGTATTTATGCATTGCAGTTGATAAACTTCATTTTCACATAAAAATAGAGCCACACCTCATATCGTTAAGATATTCTCTCTCACTTTCTCTCCTATAAATAAGCTTAATTGCAGCCTCATATCTCTGAAAATTGATTAAAAACACTAGATATGTGCAAAATGTCTATACTGTTTGGGGACCACCAAAACCGGACAACCACCAAACCCGGACGGCCCCGAAAATGCTTAATTTAATATTTTCTTTGTTCAGTGGTTGTCAGTCACTTTTTTTATCAACAATAAGTGCATGTTTCTTTTGAAATTAAGGAAATAAATTTATTTCAACCTCCGTAAATGGTAATATTTTAATGTCTATTTCAAGAATGTTGACGTTGAAATTCGGGGGTCATGAAAGCAATGCCTGACCTCATATACCAGCTATAATCATTTGCAGAGGGAATAATAGAATATCCAAAACTTCAGCATTTGTTGCTGACATATTGAATACCATGTTACAAATCAAAAATCATAACACCCAAGCTTTTATCTGAATTAAATCACATCATGTACATATCTGTCCGGACACATGGTACTGTAGTGTAGACAATGTAGGTAATTTTGATACCCTCCTTGTCGAGCATATGATATAAGTGTCAATACAATCAGAAATAAACAAACTAGTTTGTTAGTTAAGAGAAGAACCTAGCTGAACTGTGTCAAATTTTTTTATCTCTAGGTTAAAAATTATGAAATCTGTACGGAAAAATGTTCCAAAAGTGTCCGGTTGATGGTCTCCGACCAGTATAAGTTTATAGTTTATATAAACTACAAAATATCGCCATGACCAGGGGCATAGCCAGCTTTTTTCAACTTGTAGGCCCTTAAATGGTGTCTGGGGGCTTAGCCCCCAGAAGCCAAAAACAAATTCAGTTTAAAAAGAGCGAAACGCGCATTCCATAGGATTTTGAATTTGATTTTACTGAGGATGGTAAATTATGGATCTGCCTAAAACACACTTGAATCGACCATACGGCTTGAACCCACAACGCCTGTTTTTATTGTGTTTTTGGACTTTTGAAATGTCAATTTCTTGAGCAACTTGTAGGCCCAGGCCTACATGGCCTCATAGTAGCTACGCCCACTGATGACCTGGCTCAGGGGCGGATACAGAACATGGTTTCCGGGGGGGGGCTGACATATGGGTGGAAGATTTTGACAAAAATAATGCTACAAGCAAAAATTGTGCATGTTTGAATATTGGGCCAGCATCTTGTTCATGTGACAAAAAAGTGTAATTGTTGGTTTTATAGCTCATCTTATGAGTGGTAATATGCTTTGCTTATATATGTGTACACTAATTTTTTTGTAAATATTTAGATGATATGGAATTAAAAAAATATATGTGATTGGGGTGGGCATGGGTGTGGTGTCCCCTCCCATAGGTAAAGGGTCAACTTGGCCCTATACCAACTCGGCACGGGTCAACTCGGCACAGGTCAACTCGGCTCTCTATTAAAAACCTATTAGTATTTAGATTGTTTAGCTTATAAAAATTTTAAGGATTAAATTACTATAAAAGTATTCAGATGTATATATGATCACTAACAAACAGAAATTTAAAAAGTTGGCAGTGTATCTTTAAATTGAATTTTTATGATAATAAATGTAATTGTATTTAACACTGTTTGTTCTTAAACACAACCAATGCTGTTTGAACGATATATTTTACAAAAAAGAACATCTGAAGTAAACAAAACGTGCATATAAATCGTAAATTCTTCCCCTCTCTGCAAATTCACATACAAATTGGTACTTTCATCAATAAAACTTTTTCAACAACCTTGAGTAGAGGTCTATTACTGTGAAAATGTTTAACAATGAAAGTTATGATGAAAACATATATAAAGTAATAAAAGTAATCATTACCATATATTATATAATTATGGGCCGAGTTGACCCATGCCGAGTTGGAATAGGGCCGAGCTGACTTGGGGGCAGAGTACATTTTAGGGCCGAGCTGATCCTGATTCCCTCCCATAGACTGAGAAATTTTGAAATGTGAGGTTGAAAATGGTGTTATTTCCTTGACTTTCTAGTGCTGTTTATGGTGCCTTTCGGATGGTTTAACATCACATTGACAGCACACATACCAATGTATCTGTGACCGTTGATAAAAATAATTTCAAGCACTCAATCAATTTACTCATCTTAATAATAGAGGATTTTCCTTCATAAAGTGTTACTAAAATACTGTCTTTCTATTATACAAAAATATTTTTCAAACACTTCATATTCAATAAGATTTTTTTTCCATCAATGAATCCATTTTAGATTAAGACTAAGGAGGTCAGTACAATCTGAATTTTATTTAAAAAATATATCTGCCATAAAAAGTTAAAACAAGAGGGCCTTGATGGCCCAGAGTCGCTCACCAGAAACAACTGCTTTTCAGTGTTGAAATGTCAATACATTGTATATTGTAATATTAAATTTGAGCATAGAATATGTTTAAACAATAATTTGAAGTAATGCCATGACCTGGGGCATTTAAGCCTTAGCTTGATAAAAGACTACCTAAGAATGCTACAAAGTTTGGTGATCATCTATCAATTATTTCAGTAGTAAATGATGTTCGAAGGTTTTTTCTATTTTTAGCTTTAGTGGCCCCTAAAAGGGGCCAATCAAATTAATATGAGCAAACTTGATAAATGAGTACCCAAGAATGCTACAGACAAAGTTTGGTGATCATCCATCAATTGGTTCTGAAGTAGAAGATGTCTAAAGGTTTTTTTATTTTTAGCTTAAGCGGCCCCTAAAAGGGGCCAATCAAATTAATATCAGCAAACTTGATAAAAGATTACCCAAAAATTCTACAGACAAAGTTTAGTGGTCATCCATTTATTAGTTCTGTAGGAGAAGATGTTTAAACGTATTTCTATTTTTAATTTTAGCGACCCCTAAAAGGGGCTAATCAAATTAATATGAGCAAACTTAATAAAAGACAACCCAATAATGCTACAGACAAAGTTTTGTGATCATCCATCAATTAGTTCTGTAGCAATAGACGTTTAAATGTATATCTATTTTAATTTTTAGCGGCCCCTAAAATAATATGAGCAAAGTTGATAATTTAAAAGACTACCAATCATCCATCCATTAGTTCTGTAGAAATAGACATTTAAAGGTATTTCTATTTTTAGCTTAAGCGGTCCCTAAAGGGCGCCAATCAAATTCATATGAGCAAACTTGATAAAAGACTACCCAAGAATGCTACAGACAAAGTTTGGTGATCATCCATCTGGTGATCATCCCACAATTAGTTCTCTAGAAATAGACATTTAAAGGTATAGGGGCTAATCAAATTAATATGAGCAAACTTGATAAAAGACTACCCAAGAATGATACAGTTAAAGTTTGGTGATCTTCCCTCAATTAGTTCTGTAGAAATAGACATTTAAAGGTATTTCTATTTTTAGCTTTTGCGGCCCCTAAAAGGGGCCAATCAAAATAATATTAGCAAACTTGATAAAAGACTACCCAAGAATGCTACAGACAAAGTTTGGTGATCATCCATCAATTAGTTCTCTAGAAATAGACATTTAAAGGTATTTCTATTTTTAGCTTTTGCGGCCCCTAAAAGGGGCCAATCAAATTAATATGAGCAAACTTGATAAAACACTACCCGAGAATGCTACCGACAAAGTTTGGTGATCATCCATCAATTAGTTCTGTAGGAGAATATGTTTAAAGGTTTTTCTATTTTTAGCCCTAGAGACCCCTAAAAGGGGCCAATCAAAATAATATAAGCAAACTTGATAAAAGACTACCCAAGAATGCTACAGACAAAGTTTGGTGATCATCCATCAATTAGTTCTCTAGAAATAGACATTTAACAGTATTTCTATTTTTAGCTTTAGCGGCCCCTAAAAGGGGCCAATCAAATTAATATGAGCAAACTTGATAAAACACTTCCCAAGAATGCTACAGACAAAGTTTGATGATCATCCATCAATTAGTTCTGTAGGAGAAGATGTTTAAAGGTTTTTCTATTTTTAGCCCTAGAGACCCCTAAAAGGGGCCAATCAATATAATATAAGCAAACTTGATAAAAGACTACCGAAGAATGCTACAGACAAAGTTTGATGATCATCTATCAATTAGTTCTGTAGAAATAGACGTTTAAAGGTTTTTCTATTTTTAGCTCTGCTGACCCCTAAAAGGGGCCAATTGGAATGACATGAGCAAATTCAAGTGTGACTGTCGCAAGGATGCTACAGACCAAATTTGAAGTAAATCTGCTTAGTAGTTTCAGAGAAGACGATTGTTGACGCATGACGATGGACGCCGGAGCATCCCCCTTTGATACTAATAGCTCACCCTGAGCCTTCGGCTCTGGTGAGCTAAAAAGCAAATGACCAGTCATTATATCTTTATAAAAATCTTAGTAAAACTAGTTATTAAAAAGTGATACCTTTAATATTATCTTTATAAAAGTAGCCACTTTTTTAATTTACAAATCCTAACTTTCAATTTCTTAATTATAAGGCTTTCCCAAAGAAAATGGAAAAACAAAGATAGTTAAATATTGTGTACTATGTAACACATCTATTTGCCACTATCTGTGACTATTAATTTCATTAGACCTTTGGACAGTAATAAACCAAATAATTATGCAGTTCAACATTGAAACCATTCAAGCATGTTGATAGATAAAGATCTCTGCCAAGCCCCCAGGCAGGAGATTAACAACTGATTGACAGCAATAAATGTTTTGATAAGGGAGTACACTACAGCCAATAAAGTTTGAAACTGACAAAAATATATTCCAGCCCAGCTGGTAAACGTATCTTTGGGCCCAGCTGGGGGGGGGGGCTGCAGCCCCGAAGCCCGGGCCTGAATCCGCCGCTGTGGCTTATTTTTAATCCAACTTACCAAGCTATCATTTGAGTGAATTTTTTTTCTAATCAACCACAAAAGATATTTACCTTTAGAACTCTTCACACATGTATAATCTGCCATTATCTGGGACGTAATATAACAGGACAATCAACTACTGAGTAGATATGGCAAATAATGGCATCATATGTTGCTGTCCAATTGACAGCTGATTGCTTGGTGAAGGTAGTGTTCTTATTTTGTATATTTTTACCATTATTATAATAAATAACGTCAATGAATATTTATAAAATCATATACTAAAGACCATAAATTTTAGTACTATTAAAAGACTGTTTGCCTATATTTCTTTTATTAAATTTTTTCACTATGATTACTACAAACTTGTAAAAACCCTTTCAGTACAAGACAAAATGGTGGCGGCATGCTCCTGATCAGATGAAAAGATAACATGGAACTAATTTTTAGTTGTCTATCCTGTTACATTATGTCCCTTTTATAATTTAGGTTACTGTCATTGACTCTTTGGTAGATCTGTACTGAAATTACCTTTTTATGAACTAGTAGGCTTTGCATTTTACATGTATGATCTAACCCAACAATCACTGATCAAAGCTATTCACTTGAAACTTCACTCACATAGCTAGAATCATGGATTTCTTACTGAATTATTAAACAGTTTGTGATATTTTCAAATTCCTGATGTTTTAAAGTTTGTGTATATAAAAATTGTTTATAACTTTTACAAACACTGTTTTTAAACTCGAGTCGTGTCTGCTCGGACTGACATTGAATAGGGCTATAACATTTCATTTCACAATTTAGAATATCAATACAATATTAAACACAGTTCTTGTTTTGTAGAACATCCCTCAATTATATCTGAAGAGAGAAGTCACTTCTCTCACATTTTCATGTCTATCTTAACCCTGACTTTGTTTTTCAGAGGTCAGTGAAAAATAATAACTTTCACTGATAAATGTTAGTCATTGACCAAAACCTATCTATAACCTGGCATAACTTTTACTGATAATAAATTAAATGTTTGTATTTTTTCTTTCACACACATAGAGGGAGAACAGCCAAGTACCCAGTCTTTTTGACACATTTTGTTTATTATTATGCAGTGATTTATGAATGTTGATAAACAAATGAATTGTGTATGTTTTCAGATCAACACAGACTTCTGGGCTATGTTCAAAGTGTTACAAAGGTATTGTCAATATTAAGTCAATTTTTAATGTCCGCTCCATCTGCTTAGTTTATAAAAGGGGAAGATCAGATTAAGTAATCCGGGGGTATTGTTTTCATCTTCTGTTGGATAAAAATTTTTTGTGAATCTCTAACTTTGATTTAAGGGTCATTTTTTTTTAACGTTGAGTCAAAATATTTGATTTAGTAGCATTCACTTGCAAAGAAATAGGTTATTACTGGTAACTTATCCAGGAAAGGCAGTTAGTTGGCTCGACCAAAAATGTGTTAAAGTTGGTGTTAAAAAAAGAAAAAACAAATAAATGACGGCTCCATGGTTTCCACACATTAGGTCAAATCATAGAAAACTTTGTTTTCATTTAAGATGCTACTTTTCCATCTAATTCTTATGACTCTTGGTAAGAAAGTTTGATGTTGGTGTTATTAGTCCTGTTGAGTAAGGTGAGCTTCACATAGTAATGTAAAGTAGTTGCTGGATCTTTTGGTTATTTTTAAGTATCAGTATCTTAACTGTCATATGTTTAGATATATTTAATTGATAATATGCATGTGAACTGCATAATTTTTGTATTAACTTTTTAAGTTTTTTTTCCTTAAGTAATTTTATTCAATTGCAGCAACAGTGCAGGAAAAGACCCCAGATGGAATTGATGCAAAAAGTGAACTGCTTAAAAGTAAGGAATCATACGTTTTCAATACATGTGATTTAAGATTGATATTGGCTCTGATTAGGGCTTTTAGTTAGTACCTGCATGAATTATTGGGTACTTGTCTTGATAACATAAATGTTGAATATAAACACTGGTTACCTTTGTGATTGCTGAATTAAGATAATGTTGGCTTGGTATACTAATAGGACCTGATTTAAGAAGGACAATGTATTTTACTTTTTATGCCACCGCAGCATCTGCGATGCGGTGGCATACGCAGCATCTGCGATGCGGTGGCATATAGCGATTCACCTGTGTGTGTGTGTGTTTGTGTGTGTGTTTGTGTGTGTGTTATATAGATTATATAGTGAACTTAAAAAATCTTCTTGTGAAAAACCACTAGTCCAATTTCAACCAAACTTGGCAGGATTGTTCCTTGGGTGAAGGGCTTCCAAAGTTGTTCAAAGAATTTCATTCCATGCAGAAATCTGGTTGCCATGGCAACCAAAAGGAATTATAAGAATAAATTTAAAAAATCTTCTTGTAAAAACCCAAAAGGCCTAGAGCTTAGATATTTTGCATAAGGCATCGTCTGGTAGACCCTTACCAAGATTGTTCAAATTATAGCCCTTGGCGTCAAAAATCGGCCCCGTCCCGGGGTCATTGATTTTCACTATATGTACATATAGTAAAAACTTAAAACACCTTCTTGTAAAGACCCAAAAGGCCTAGAGCTTATATATTTTGCATTAACATTGTCTGGTAAACCTCTACCCAGATTGTTCAAATCATAGCCCTGGGGTCAAAATCGGCCCGCCCGGAGGTCATTGGTTTTCCTTATATGTATATAGTAAAAACTTATAGTAAAAAACTTCAAAAAAAATTCTTCTAGCAATTGACAAATGCTAGAGGTTAGATATTTTGCTTGAAACATTGTGTAGTAAACCTCTAGCAAGATTGTTCAAATTATAGCCCTGGGGTCAAAATTGCCCCCACCCTTGGGGTCATTGATTTCAATATATACATATAGTAAAAAATAAATAAATCTTATTGTCTGAAGGTACAAGGCTTAGAGCTTTAATATTTGTTAAATAATATCATCTAAAGGTACTCTACAAAAGTTATTCAAATTTTGCCTCTTGTGTCAAAATTAGCTCCGCCCCCGGTGGCCATAGGTTTTCCTTATATGTATATAGTAAAAACTTAAAAAATCATCTTCTCTAAATTTACAAAGGCTAGAGTTAAGATATTTTGCATGAAAATTGTGTAGTGAACCTCTTGCAAGATTGTTCAAATTATAGCCCTGGGTCAAAATTGGCCCCAACCCTGGGGTCATTGATTTTCATTATGTACATATAGTGAAAAAATGAAAAAATATTTTTGTCTGAAAGTACAAGGCATAGAGCTTTGATGTTTGATATATAATATCATTTATAGGTCCTCTACCAAAGTTGTTCAAAATTTTCCCCTGGTGTCAAAATTGGCCCTGCCCGGGGGGCAGTGATTCTCATTATGTACACATAGTAAAAACAGAAAATAAAACAAATGTTTTCTGAATGGGAGAAAGCTATAGCTTAGATATTTTGACTTGAAATGTTATTTGGTGGACCTGTATCAAAAATTGTTTTGAATTAAACCCTTGGGTCAAAATTATGCCTTGCCCAAGGGGACAGTGACCTACTTTCTTGTCCTTTGATGTACAGCAATGACATTTTGACCACGTGCACAGTTTTAGTTGTAAAATTGAACTTTGATATCAGGTGACCTAGATTTTGATGATGTGACCTACTTTCTTGTCCTTTGATGTACAGCTATGAAATTTGAACCATGCGGTGGCATAGCATTTTTCTCAAATGCAATCTTGTTTATAGATAAATATATTTATGAGAAAGTAGGCAAATTAATATCATTTTGCTACATTTCTGGTTAAAACAGTTCATGTACCAGTACTTGAAACCAGACATGTGGATTAGCATTTATTTCCATTTATATATCAAGAAATGAGTGAAAAGCATTTCTTTGATATCAAACATGCTGTTTACTGCTGAGTGGTTACCATTGACAGTGTTGGTATGAGTTACTCTTTTAAAGGGTCACCAAGACACAAAAGATAAAATAAAATCTTGAGATGAGAATCTGACATGATAGAAGTAAGCGTTACTTCTTGATATTATTTATTAGAAGCTGTAAACTAGACTATTAGACTGTAATAAGAAATTTATGGATTCCCTTAATTACACCTTGTTTCAATCAAATTCTTTAAACAAATATTTAACTGTGAAATTATTCTAAGTTTGAAACTAGTCAAACAACATAGAACATACCTCAAAGGGAAAGTTTTAACTGACATACTAAGTTTAACTGATAGACATTTTTTCCCCCATTATAGAGCCCCCAGTGGAACAGGTGTTACAGAATTTAGGAGAGTTTACAACTTTACCATGCTTCAAGTGAAAATGATTAGCCTTTTTAGCTCACCTGTCACAAAGTGACAGGGTGAGCTTTTGTGACCGCTTTTCGTCCGGTGTCCGTCCGGCGTCCGTAAACTTTTACTTTAAATGACATCTCCTCATAAACCACTAAGCCAATTTCATCCAAACTTTACAGGAATGTTCCTTTGGTGGTCACCTTTGAAAATTGTTCAAAGAAATTTTAA